GTTAATTACAAAACACACATTTAAAATCAGGTTTCCAGAAAGAAAAACTATGATAAAATATAATTTATCAGTTTGTTATAATCAATAATTGAGCCCATATTTTCAGTTGATGGAGTAATGGAAAATATGAGGCAATAACAACTACCACACAGGTCGCTTTTGGACTGCAGGTCATGAATCTTGCCTGTACAAGTTAGATCCAGTATTTTTCATCCTGCATTCAAATGTTTAACTGGGTCAGAGGTTAGTTCTGTAGATATTGGGTTTGTGCGATTGTCTTTTGAGTTTGTTTTCTAATCCCTGCTGGTCTGATGACGTCTCCTCGTCTCCCGCAGGTCTGCAGATCCTCTACACTCTCCTGCAGAACGTGTCTGCAGAGGAAGCAGCAGCACAGAGCTTCTACCAGACGTACTTCTGTGACGTCCTGCAGCACATCTTCTCTGTGGTCACCGACACCTCTCACACCGCAGGTGAACACGCCGACCCGGTGGCGCCTGCCTGTATAAAGATACTTTTTCATATCGCGAAACTCGATCTGTTTGACGAGCCCCTCTCCTTTCACCTTGTCTGCAGGTCTGACCATGCACGCCACCATCTTGGCCTACATGTTCAACCTGGTGGAGGAGGGGAAGGTCAGCGTGGCCCTGAGCGCAGCCAGCCCCGCCAACAACCAGGCGCACGTCCAGGAGTACATCGCCAACCTGCTGAAGACGGCTTTCCCCCACCTGCAAGAGTAAGTAGTCCTCAGCTGGGCAGGTGAACCACAGTGGGATTACATGAGCTGTGTGTGTGTGGTTAATGTTTCCAGGTATTCTGCGCCTGTTCATGGAAGAGGTTTTACATAAACACAGGGATTAAAGGAAAAAATGAAATAAGAGAGATTTTCCTACAGAAACAAGCTTCAAATAGACCAGAACACATTGAAACACACTGAGTGAAGGCTGCAGCCGCAATCAGACACATCCTGAGAGACGAGCTCGGGGTTCCCCTTTTCAACTTTCAGAGAATTTTCTCACTTAGTACATTTTGATTTATTCAGAAAATAAGGTTTGACGTTGCCAGAAGCCCCAGAGACGTTTAATGTTCCATTAAATAAATGACACCTGTTAATATGGCACTCGTACATTCAGAGTCTGTACTTTTTGAAAGTGGCGCTGTAAAAAGAAAAACATTTTAAAGTGTTCCCATTATCGTGACCGAAACAAGTAGAAATCTTTAGAAATTCCACTGAAAACGGATTTCATTTCATTTGTCTCTGTTCACTTTGTCAAAAAGCATTCTGGGAAATGCTGTGACGTAGAAGCAGAGCAGGTAAAAGGGGAAAAAGTAAATATAAAGATGGTACATGCTGCAGGGCTGCATCAGGTGCTGCTGTTGTTTTGTTATTCTGCTTTCACAGACTCGCTGCTAATTGAGTGTCTTGTGTTCAGCGCCCAGGTGAAGGTGTTTGTAACGGGTCTGTTCAGCCTGAATCAGGACATCCCCGCCTTCAAGGAGCACCTGAGGGACTTCCTGGTGCAGATCAAGGTGAGTGTGCAGAGGAATCGGGGGAACCAGACTGGGAGAGATAAGCATTCAAAAATAAAATGCAGCTGCACAAGATCTTAAAGAGAAGATAAGGAAAAGTTCCGAGTGTTATTTTCTACCAGGACGTGACTGAACAGGCTCGTAGAAGCGGCTGCATTGACGACACTTTAGTTTTACATTTGTTATTATTAAATTCTGTCATGTTGACGAAAACCTTTCGAGGTGAATCTTTAGTTTTGTAAACTTGCCAAAGGTTTTTGATAGACAAACACTGTAGCAGCTGATTTTTACTGCTAACGACTATTTAGACAACATGTTGAAACAGGTTCAGCTCGGTGTCTGTGTAACGTCAGGCTGTACGCACTGAAGCAGCAACTGTAACTAGACATGTTGATGTATTAAGTGGAAGGTCATGTAGCAGTAAAAAGCAAATGCCAAATTATCTTATATAAACCACTGTCCAAATGTCGAACAGTAATTCTCAGATGGGATCAAAGAAAACAGCTCGTGTTGTTTTGTTGAAGAAATGTGATAACTCCTCGGCTGAATTACATAAGATGAGACAAATCATTATTTAAACACAAAGTCTAATCTGATTGGAAGCATTTAAAAGCAATAACCTGCCTCGGATTATTTTAACTTGCGAGTGCAGAGACTGTGTGGAAAGTTTGAGCAGTGCAGGTCTCCTTCTGTGGGAAAGCAGTAAGTTGGCCCGGCTTGGATCTGAAGCCTAAGGCCCGGGGTGAGCTCTGCTGAGCCTCTGCTTGTGTGGTCCTGCAGGAGTTTGCCGGTGAGGACACGACGGACTTGTTCCTGGAGGAGAGGGAGGCGTCTCTGCGCCAAGCCCAGGAGGAGAAACACAAGCTCCAGATGTCGGTGCCCGGCATCCTTAACCCCCACGAGCTGCCGGAGGAGATGTGCGACTGAAGCAGCAGCGACCAGCGTGTACAGAACAAATCTGAAGGGGGGAAAGGTCACGAGAGAGCGAGGACGCTTCCTGTTGATAGATTGTTTTCTTTTCAAGTGTGTTTGTGTGCAAGTGTGTGTGTGTTCGAAAAGAGGAATGAGGGGCCGGAGAAAGGACCCCAGCACTCGGTTGTACGTCGACCAAATCAATGTCAATATGTAAATGAGAATTGCCCCCCTGACCCCCCCCCCTCCACCCTGGTGCGAGTTCCTTTTTTTTTTTTTTTTTTTTTCCTACAAACTTATTTTATATAAAGATTTTTTTTTTGTTTAATACGCCATCTTTTGTTAATTCTTTGCTAATCAAAGCTTTATGTTTGGCCATATGGTTCTTTTACACCTGCATGAAGTTGAAAGAATTAAAGGTTATTTTTAATCTCTCTTCACCCCACTTCAAATCACCCCCTCCTCCCTCCCCCTCTTCTACTTGTTAATATGTAATATATGATGTTGAAACGCTTGCAGTGGTTAGTTGACAGATTGCTCTGGTTTCAGATTTGCCACATGCTCGGTGCAGGATGAATGTGACACTCAAGGGGTAAACATGTACTTCCTTGCTTCCTTTGTTGTCTTGTTTTGGTTTGTCAGTGTGTTTAGTGTTTTTGTTTTGTTTGTTTTTTTTTCTTTTACTCTGGCTCCCTGAGCGACTCGGGGCTTCAGTTGGACCGCTCTGCGTTTGGATGAGAAGGAAGGCTGTGTGCATATCATCCTATTTGTAAAGCTGTCTTAGTACTCTGAGAATATAAAGTTGGCTATTTTTACAAATGTTACTGTGTGATTCTGCTTCTTACCCAAAGCCCCAAAGCTTCCAGGACCTCAGGGAAAGTGTGAATAATATAATCTATGAGGTTGTGGAAAAAATTGGGAATTGTTGTTTTCTCCTTAGTTATTTGACATCAAAGGAAAAGCATCATCTGCATCAGTGATTTCAAGACTCAGGGACAGACTCCCCAGTGGGGTCACACATGACCAGGAGGTAAAATATGGAGTTGTAATAAAGTTGAATAGATCTTTTCTCACTGCAGAGGTTTTGGTGAAAGACAGGTGTAACATATATATAATTAACTGCTGGTACAGAGCCCTCATTAGTGTTATTATCTCCACCTGTGTTTTCCCTGTTATCAGAGGACAAAACATTGGCTGTAAAAAGACATCTCTGAATCAGATTCACCTGAGAACAGTGAACTACAGTCCACTGATGCTGCACAGCTATCGACATTCAGGTCAGCAACATTATTCATGCAGAAAAATACCACCAAAATGCAGTTTTGACAGTTAATTCTCCTTAGGCAAATATCAGTCCAATTTAAAATATGGAATATTATGAGTTCTATGTGTAAAAACTGTTTTAATTTGATGTAATGATGTGAAAACATCAGCTTTATGTTCTTGAAAATGTTGCATTTTCTAACACTTTTCCTACCATTTCATTAAAAATGCAGCCAGTTCACATATAGACTCATTACCTAAGGAGCAAATATAGTGACATGTAATAAGTTATTGGACATTATGATCATGTATTAAACAGAAAGGAACATGAAAGCGTGAGTGCAGCTCTACCTGGACTGTTAGACTGTAGATTAAATGCTGTGGTGTTCAGACAGAAACACTGCAGGCCGCCAGCTGTGATTAATTGACTCTGAAGTCAGAGTCGGGCCTGTTGGCAAGTTTACAACAGGTTTGCTTCCAGGAAGAAAAACTTCATTTTCTGCAAGTTTAGTTTTCCAGCCTACACACACATAAATACATTATGAGTCATGAGAAAACTATGGCTTATGAGTTTTAGGAAATATTTAGAAATCACCTCTCATTATTATGTAAAAGACTGAGTCATAAATTTACTAAAACGATTTGGATAATGAAGGATCAAACTATACAGTAAGTGTAATTCCGTATTACATTGGAGGACATGGAAACAGACTTATTTTCTTTTCCTCCCTTTCTAACTTCCCAGCAGAAAAGCTTTTGAAATACAGGCAGAATAAATACACTACAGGAAAGACAACCTCAAAATAAACACAAAAATGAAAAACAAGTAAACCGTATTACATGATTTTCTAAATGTTCAGTTATGTGTATTTAATAATAATAATAATACTATATGTGTATAGTAAATATTTATTATTATTGATAATAATAATAATAATTTAAATGTAATTGGAGGCAAACAAATACTATAAAAGATGTAGCATAAATGCATAAAACATAACGCAATATAGAAAATAATTATTTTTATATACATTTTCTGTCAAATTAAAATTTTGGAATCAATATTTTAGTTTAGTACAAATATTTTGCTGTATTTTGCATTCATTTTAAGTTATGTACATAATTGTCGTCGCTGTTGCCCTTGAGATCATAAGAAAAGGTTGTAAACATTACTTCATTGGGAAGATCTCGCGAGACTAGCGAAGAGTACCGAGCGGGCGAAGGAGACACGGACGAAAACTCCCGAGCTCTCAACACGCTGTGTCGCCCCCTCCTCCCCTCCCCTCCTTTTTCAACATGGCTGCTGTGTCTACTCTCTCAAGTAACGCTCAGATTGGAGACTGACTCGATTTCTACCGTCCAGTGCCTCTTAACTTTTGGTGTACATCAACTTCGCTTGGATGCAAATCACGTTCTACACCTTGTCGTTTCCCCTGGTTTCATTCAGTGGAATAACCTTCACCAATCACCCCCTCCCCTGGGCCTTTTTTTACCCCAAAAACAACCAACTGCCAGCCAACAACAGTTTCCAGTGCCATGGTTTGAGTAGGTGCACTCAGTTTTCCTCTTCATGAACAATGTGTGAAAACTGCGCCGAGCTGGTGGAGGTTTTAAATGAAAGTAAGTAAACAAATCGTTTTTATTTACACCAGACTAGCCGCTTGATGTTAGCACCGCTGTCCACTGAAGCTGGATGGGAGCATGTTAGCTCGCAGGCTAGCTAAATATAACTTTGTGTATTTTCTTGCTCTGTCCGCACTTTGCGGTCACAAGACAGCGGAAGTCGTGACATTATTTGTGTGTGTTTTGCAGTCGGTGACAGCGAGGTGTTGGTGTCAGACCGTGTCGGTTTGGTGTGAATGTAAATGCCATTTTCCCTTCCTGACTGGCAGTCAGCTTCGGGCCTGTCTGTCAAACACTCCTCACAGAACTCACACAAGCTAGCTCCTAAATCCAACCACTTCCAGCCGATTTGTGTGTGACATTACAGCTGTGAGTCAAAACACAACAGCACGGTTGAACACGATGCTCGGGAGCGGGGTTTTGAGGGATGCCGCTGTTGCTAAAATGCGGCTTGCGCGGATTTGGAAGTTAGCTAAGTTAGCTGGCTGAGCTAGCGAGCAAAGCCTGACTTTGTTTGATGTGTTTGTCAGGTCAGTCTGCTAGCTGTCCACTCCGCTGCCACCCATTGTTTGGTGGATGGTCACATTCACACTCCAAAATGGCCTGCAAACTCCCGATAATACTCTCACGGTTATTTCTGCTGACACGAACATGATGATGTAAATTTCTTGTGTGTTTTGGCGAGCCTGTTAAATGTTAGTCTAAGCTAGCGACAACTCAGCTAGCCCAGAAAATTAATGGCTGCAACGAGGCGCATATTTTGGCACACAGCACACCGTTAATCCTCGGTAGCTTGTGGATATTTTTCGGCAGATGTCCCATTGCACATTGCGCTTACTTCTTGCTCGTTTTGGTGTTAAAATCGATTGTAATTTTGCCACCTCTTCCCATTTCACCTACAGGGCTAACGTCAACTCGAGGCAGCAAATGTAAATACAAGGTTGCCTTTATTGCTAAAACTTAGCCGTTAGTCCGGGCGTGCTAACCAGGCCTTGCTGCACTTCAGGAGTGTCTGCTAGACATTGAACAAAGCCGTTCAGTGCTATAACGCTATTTTTAAACCGGTTTGCATGCAGTGATTGACGGTTTATTTGTCGTTTTCCTGCGTGTGTCCAGCCTATTGTGTGTCATGAACTTGTGTATGTGTGTGTGTGTGTATGTGAAGAGAAAGCTCCTCCTGCAGGCTCTGCAGGAATCCACTTTAACATACAATCCTGCACCTGACTGTATCATGGGCTCACTAATTCAAACTTAAGGAAGTCAGCAAAAAAAAAAAAAAAAATCAAGCTTTATTATCTTGATTCTTTTTTGACAAGTTGATTTGTGGTTGTCAATTGGAGAATAAGCACTTTTGGAGTGTCTGCATACGGATATTTAAGTCCAGTTGTGAGAGAGAGATGTGGCCACCTGTTTTTCAGCAAGGAATATCATTCTCATTGTACACTATCTGGCCAAAAGTATCAGGACACCTGATCATTACACCCATATCTTATTGCTGATCATGTCATTTCAAAACCACGGGCTGTCTACTCCAGTAACAGCCTCCTCTCCTCTGGGAAGGCTTCCCACGGGTTTTTGGAACCCGGCTGCAGGAGTTTACTTCCATTCAGCCACAAGAGCATTATTATAACCCTTCCATAGAGAAGATGGCGTAGTTCTGCCAAACATGCCCTCAGTCTGCTTTGTGTCAGTTCATAAGAGACGGGTGTCATGGGTTAATCTCTGGTTGTCACTCGTAGCAACGACACCAACCTGCAGTATAGTTCACTTCACTGTCAAAACTGCAGAAAAACACTGAATTACATCACATATTAAGTTTAGCCTCAGTTGCACATCTGGCTTTCCCACATCTCTTGGGTTAGGGTTAAAAAAAAAAAAGAGAGAGAAACAGAAACTATTTTATTTTGTTTTATTTTTGTTGTTTTATTTTTCTCTCTTGTTGGGAGTCGATTAAATGAAGCCTTTAAAAGTCAGGAACATAAAATTATTTTCTACCCCTTTTTGACAAAACCACTCAGCAGAATCTGGATTGGACCACGGTCATGTCGGACGTTTTGCTCCTCGGGACGTTGCTGCGACAGTTGGAATGGGTTATTGGGGATGTTGGCCGCTGATGTTTGGGTGATGAAGCCTGGCCTGTAGTTCAGTAGTTTAAGTTCATCCCAAAGGTGTTGGATTGGGTTGAGGTCAGGGCTGTGTGCAGGCCGGTCACCTGCTTCCACCCCAAAACCGTTTCTCTGTAGACCTGGCTTTGTTGAAACGGGGAAAGGGACAAACACAAACTGTTGAAACAAAGTTGGGAGCACACTGTTGTCTAAAATATCATTCTGGATTGTGCTTTTTGAAGTTTTTAGTCGTAGGCTGTCTGTTTTTGGCTGTCATGTGAATTGTCACTCACAGGTTCAGATTCAGATGTGTGTGTTTGGTTTTTGTACAGTCTCGCCTGATGTGTGGGAAAAAAAAAACAACCTTGCAGTCATCAGAAGATTGTTTTTGTTTGATAGATTCTTTTGAAAGAGTATCTGTATGATTTGGGGAAAACCCAGGTTATGTAGTTGATGCTCATTGCATCACATGTGTTGATTGTTAGATGAGAAGTCAAACAGTTACTTTCATTTCCATCTGCATTCTTCAGTAGGACAGGAGTCATTCTGTGGAAAACAGCTGTCGTCTCAGTGATGAACTCGAGCGCTCTGTAAACTGAAGTGTGTGTCGTACCTCACAGTTGGTTCTGGGCGTTTTAAATAAGACCTGACTTTCAGTATCAAAACCAGTAGTTGTTTATTACTTAGGTTTGAAAAATAATAAGTCCTCAAATGGTGGATATTGTCTGAACACAAGCCGCTATACCAGAACCTTAACCAAGTAAAATATGAGAAACAAAGAAGATTTAAATTAGGAACCGTCTTATTCTTACCAGGCGTTCACAGCTTTCAAAGTTTTACGCTTCGATACACGAAAACCTACTCGCACTATAAAAAAAAAAAACCCAACGTGTTGAATGTGTTTACAGTGGAGGGTGAATGGAGGAGTGTGAATGTACTGTGTTATTGATTCAGCTCTATTGCTGTGAAGGTTCACAATGTGTTTCGCTTCTCGGTTAAACAAGACTCCAGTTTGAGGTTTTTCATGTGGTGTTGGGTTAAAGATCATCTCACACACACACACACACTCTCACACAGACACACACACTCTCACACACACACACTCTCACACACACACACACACACACACACACACACACACACACACACAGGAATGAAACTGGGAAAACCGTGAGAACTGGTTGTATTTTTGTGTTTTTTGGGACATGATGACGCTTGTAGCTTTACTGATACAAACCAGTATTGTGGATGGGGGGGGGTGGTGGTGGGGGGGCTTGCACAGCAGGGTGCTGTCAGCTGTGACAGCTCTGTCTACAAGACTGGCAGGTCCATGTGCTGTGTCTGTCGGAGACCTGTGACCTCAGATTTGCTGCAGCAGCATGTGTTTGTGTGTGCGTATGTAAGAGACAGAATCCCCTTTTACAACAGGGAGCTGTGTTCAGCTGGTGTTTCCCAACACGGGATAATCCACATGGTTTCCAAAAAATGTGAGGATTTTCTGTTTTGAGTCTAAATTAAATATCTTTGGATTCTGGACCATTGTTCTAACAAAACAAAACAACTTGGAGACGTCAGCTTGGTCTCTGGGAGCGCTGATATATGGAAGTGTTTCAAGAATATTCTGACATTTTCTACTAAGCAGCAGTTCAGAGAGTAATCAGCCCCAGACCTGCGACATCTATGTACCAAACTGTTTATACTCAATGTGAACATGTGAATTTAGTCTTACAACGCACACAAACTAAACCCTCAAACCAAAGTGATTTTATTTAGTTTCTGTCCAAAAATGCAGGATGATGCAACTCAGATACTGACGTAGGCCTTGAAGATACATAACAGGCCTTTTCCACTGAAGACATTTTGACATGTCCCTGGTGTTGTACATGTCCTCTCACGGTCATGGTTTACTGAATAGAACAGGACGGCGTCTCAGCTAACGTTATTAGTTACACTGATGCTTCTCCTACCGAGGTGAGTCAGAATGTCCGCTGTAAAAAGACATTTGAAGAATTATTTTCATATTAAATGAACTATGAGACAAAAGAGAAGAAACATAACTAAATAAAGCGACTTTTTCAGATCGGTATTGGCGACTCCCTGCTCTGATCCGATACCACGTAATTTATTCCTAAGTGTTATAGTTTCACACCTGGATAAAATAGTAGGCTCTGAGCCTCTCTTCTGATTGGCTGACAATTAAAATATAGCAGATTTCAGGTGAAAACACTCAGAGAAACCAAATCCTGCAAGGTCTGGATGGTGGGTCCAGGTGGGCGGGGCTTGGTGGCTGCTTTGTTGTGACATCACAAAGTTCCAGAAGTCCTGACGGCTGGTTTTAAGGCTCAGTTTCTGAATACAGGCTGTGTGCATTTCTCTGTGGACTGAGGCTTTGACACTTTCACAGTATTAATATAGAAGCTAGACCTGATCTATAATCACACTACACATGGACACAGACCTTTACACTGGAGGAGCTTTAAGATTCTCTTCTCCCAATTTACAATTCAACACAAAATATAATTTGATTATTTTCTCAGTGAATTTTTGGGTCTATACAATATTAGAAATTGGAGGAAAAAATTCTTTAAAGTCAAAGTTGGTTTCTTCAGATGATGATGATGATTTGTCCGACCACCGGTCCAAAACCCAAAGAGATCTAATTTAAAGAAAAGAGAAAAAGCAGCAAATCTTCACATTTGAGAAGCTGGAGTTAGAGGCGTTGCAAATTCATCTTCTGTTTATTGACTAATCGATTAATCAACTCCCAATAGAACCTCTGGTATTATTATAATAATTATGAAGGCCTGCAGAGAGGTTCAGGAATGACGGATAATTAGTTAGATAATTAGTTAGAATTTAGGAAGCACAACGTTGATTTGTTTCAGTTGAATAACGGTAGACGACCCTCGTCCAGTGGCTGTCAACAGTCTTTGGACCTTGAACACCTCAAATACACCTGAGCGGCCAGACCTGCAAAAAGCATTATTCACACAACAGCAGCTTCCACATTGTTCAGTGACTCTGATTAAACCTATCATGCAGTTTCAGCTATTTCCCAGCAACACACACACACACACACACACACACAGACCTCGATTATCAAGGTTGAGAACTGCTGACCCTGACCGACTCGTGGTGACCAGGACATCTGTCTTGTCGTAACAGAATGTGGCGACATGAAGACAATGTCCACATAGATTCAAATAAGTTTATAAAAAAATAATAAAAAAAAAACATTTTATGCAGAAATAATAACCTACATTGATGACATCACCTTTCCAGCTTGTTACCATGACACAGTATCAGGGTTCGGGTCTCGTTCAGGTTATTTTGTTGCGTAAATCTTTATTTCCAAATATAATTTATTAAGAATTTTCTCTCGTACTGCACCAGTGGTCTGTGTCCATGCATGTCATGTGTTATAGTGGTCCTATAGTGGACCATATATAGCAAGCAAGCAAGAAAAAAAACCCTATTCATGCAGCTCATTTCATCCCAGGTGGAAGCACAATGTGCTGCACAAAGGAAGGATTTCAAAGGAAGTTGCAACCACAAAAACTATGTGGACAGTGTGAAGATAAAACATTGGACACAAATTAAAACAAACACATGAATAGAGCTGCACAATTAAATGAAATATAATTGAAATCGCAAAATGACCAAGTTCAATATCCAAATGACAGGAGCTGCATTTTGTTTTGATGAAGGTAAAATGTGTCACGTTGTTGTGCATTGTTAGCACCATAATCTCTGTGATGCTACAGAGACGCCGCCGCCTGTAAATCATATTCTCCAGACGTGAAGGAACATGCTCGTTTAGTAGACCAACAGAAATCAAACGTTCACCATCATTTTTATATATTTTTTTCTGTGAAAATTAAATGCAAAAACGATCATTCCAACTGAAATCCCAATACCTGCCAAAATAATCACTCTATGATTTTATTTGCATATCGTGCAGCCCTACATTTAAATGAAATGTATGAATTAAAAACCATAAAGAAAATGAAATAAGACCAACAACTGATCAGTAAAAAAAAAAAAAAGGGAATAAAATGTGATTAGATAAAATAATAATTAGTCCAATAAAAATAAGACGTATAAAACCTATAAAAGGAATAAAAGTAGAATAAAATGGTAAATTAAGATCAGCACACAGACGACTGGAACCAGCTCTCAGGTTCATGCACAACGTTTGAGGGGACAGAGAGTTGACTTCTTATCTTCACTAGTGGGCGGGAAACGTCACGTGCTGTTTTATGTTTTATGTTTTGTTTTTTAGTTGTTGGCTTGGTGAAGATGAAAAACAAAGAGACAGATACAGGTTTTCATATTCAGACGAGGTCTCAGAGGAAACTGCTGTTGCTGTGGACGGGTTGTTTTAGCAGACAGCATGACAACCTTGAGATGCCAGCTGTGTGTGTGTGTGTGTGTGTGTGTGTGTGTGTGTGTGTGCGCTCATATTATGTAAAACTGTTGCCACAGCACTGTAGTGTTCATTCATGCTCTGCATTGTTGACGGACAGAAAAGCTTGTTGTGTGTCTGTGGATGACGGTGTCGTTCGGTCGCTCAGCCACTTCGGTCCAGTCTGAGACGTCTTAATAACTGCGGATGCATCGTCGTGGTCATTTGGATGGGTTATAGAACATTTGGAGATCCCCACTTTCCTCTGGACGGTTGATTTAGTGAAATGCCTTAAAATCCAGAAGTGTCCCAGTTTTCCGCCAGAGGCTGAAAAGATCAGCTGCTCAGTTTAACACCTGCAGGTTTTTATATGAGCCATAAAAACTTCATTTCCTCTGACGTGTGCTGCATTGCTGCGTCTGGCTCCGTGTCTCTGCATCCACCTGAAGACTGGCCTCTTCACAGAAGCCTAGAACACGAGGCAGAATTAGATTTTAGCCATGTTAGAGTTGTCGGTATCTGATGAAGTTGGGTGTTCATTTACAGCTGATAGGAAGACTTGTAGTGTGTTTGTGTTTGTGTTGTTTCAGAGGCGTTTTAACCTTTTTATAAAAGGTATACATTATAAAAGATAACATACGAGAATGAAATCTTTGTTATTGAGACATTGGCAGAATATTACAAGGATGCAATAGTAAGAAAATTGTTGGTTTGTCATTTATGAAAACGCTGCCTGACACTGACTGTGGCATATGTTTAAGTGTTCGAAATCACAAAGGGTTTTACCCGCAAAGAAAAACATTTTTAATTAAAGACATTCAAATTTCTGCAAGGAAATGAAACTATGCCCAGTGACTCTTCAGAGTCGAAGCGTGCTCCTGCAGCTCAACATGAGTCTGTCAGTGTTAAGAGAAAACCGATGTTAAAAGACATTTTAAATTCACGCCTTCTATCAAAATGGACTCCAGAGGGTTAAAACTCCTGCAGTCTGAGTCCGTCTTTAGAGACTGAACATATTCAGATCATCCTCGGCCTTTTCCCTCCACACACAGTCGGCCACAGTTGTCTGTCAACAGCACAACACACAGCTGAGCTGTATTTATTATAATGCCACAGCTGGAGCGTTCATATTTACACGCCTCCGGTCTGGCTGAACGTTCCCGTCCCCGCTGAGCTGAGGAGTGTGATCACACAGCGGAGATGTCCTCCCCCTCTTTGTATTTATATCCACGCTGAGCTGCAGCCATAAAGCGGGTTTAGTGTTGGCACCAGAGCGCCTGTTCCCAGACATCATCATAAAGTGAAGCGGTGAAACGACATCCCTCATCTGCCGGGACGTCCCAGAACTCCGACCCCGGTGCCGAAGCCTCTGAGGAGCTTCCGTTCACACGTAGAGCTGAAAAGGTTTTGGTTCAGGTTCAGTCGGGGGGGAACCTGCAGCTGCAGGAGCCAAGATGGCTGATTGAACACAGTTGAATACGGTTTTTTGTTTTCTGTCTGTCTTTGCTGCCAAATTCAGGTCAGCGATTCAGCGGAGACACTTGACTCCTCTAAACCGGGTGTGACTGATGTGGATCTTTGAGGGCCAATACAATAACAGTAACTTCAGACTGAAGCCGTCGGAGTCTGGAGCCAATATTTAATGTCTCTGTATGAGGCGCTCTCCCAGTCGCAGCTCATCTGATACAGCACTTTGATGCTGAGAGTAAACATCTGATAACCATGTTTCAGCTCATTTTCTCTCCTTTTTTTCTCACTTTTTATTTATAACAATTTTAGTCATTTTACAATAAAATAGGAACCAAATGGGGAGCACATTTCTCAGTCTACTAAATGTGTCTCCATGTTGTCCTCGGGTTTATCCAGATATGAGCGTCAGTGTTTTTCCTTTTCTCTCTCTCTTCTGGGGAAGGTCTCCTTTCTCACTTTTCCATCACATACCTGCATCTCCCTCTCACACCAGCTTTCAGCTGTTTCACACAGGTACAGGTCACTTCTGAAGACGGCGTCCTCTGTTATTAATCCAAGATATCTCGGATTAAGTGTTTTAAAAGAAATCTGCCAGAATAATCGCAATATGATTTTAGTTTTTTTTGCATACAGTGCAGCTCTAACCTGAACTGTTTAATAATATTTTCACACGTCCAGAAAATGTGGGACTGGTTAGCGTCTGTGTGTCAACACATATAAACATCTTAAAGGACAACTCCACCGATTTTACACATGAAGTTCAGTTTGTCAGTTAACCTATTGAAACTGACATCACACGTGACACATGTTGAGTATCTACAAACTAAAACTGCTAATAGACAACTTCTTTTACAAACTCGGGGCATGAAATTTGAGAGATGTGCACATTTACCAGATGGGAATTATGCATTATGGGTAATGTAGGATCCAGTGTTTGTGGAGGTGAAGTCAGGAGATCTCGTTTTTTTAAACTCAAACCTTTTGGAAATGCAATAATCTAATCTAATGATTTTACATAATGATTATCCAAAGAAGCTTTTTATCATAAATAATTGTGAGAGTGATTTGATATTAAACACTTGGGCATGATGCGCTGGGAGCTGACAGCTGAACACTACATTTTGCTGTTGAAGTGACAGGAACAGTTTGAATTATAATCTTCACTGGAAATTAAATTCATGATGAATAATTATAAGTAAAACATTTTTCACAAATAAATCAAAAATGTAACTTTCATTTTAACAAAAAGGGTCAAATTATATTAAAACGCAGCCTGTAAAACATTTCTGTGCATGTCTGCCAACATATACTGCGAGCTGATTGGTGGATAATGTCAGCCTGCGGTTAATTGTTTAATTGTCTTTTTCTCTGTGAAACAACCTGAGAACAGCTGTAGACGTTATCTGCTGTAGCTTTGCACAGAGTTTGTTCTCCTGACAGTAACGGCGTGTGTTGTTGTTTCGTCCGCTCTTCTTCGGAGGATAAAACTGTCATGATGTCATGTTTTTCACTGAGAGTCTTGAGACGTGGCGTGACGGGTGTTTTGTGTGTGTCGTCTCTCCCTCAGTATCGGATGCAGACGGCAGCGAAGGCGGCTTCCAGCTGAAGAAGGAACATGCCCTGCGAGTGCTGGGCTACATCAGCTCCTGGACACAGAGGTCAGTGCCGCTTCCTCCCGAGTCACGTTCAGCCGACAAACTCTTATGTGATCGGTCTCGAGGAGAAACCGACTCCCTGGCTTTGCTTTATTGATCCTGTGTTGTTGTTGAAAGAGCGAGTTTCTCCTAAACTGTAAGAACCTCCTGAAGCGCTTTGCTGCCACACTTCAACAAATCACCACCTTTTACATTCAGACCAACTTCCAACTGCAAACCAAAGGATTTATTAACGGTTCATAGCTAGTTTATTAATTAGCTTGTTAACACACACTAAATCATTTATAAGCTGTTAAAACACATTAGATAAAAAGGGCAACAGTGACGCTTGCCAAATAGTGAGCCCACGTGTTCGTCTCTTTGTTTTCTCCATCATCAGCGTTTGTTCCTGCTGCTTCATCACGTCTTTGTTAAGTTATCGTCAGCAGCTTAATGGTCAAACGGTTTCATTTGGCAGATCACATGATCAAATCAAATGACCATGATTCATCATTATAACTGTTTTATAACTTAAATAAATGGTGATCTGTTTCACACTTTACAATAAAGCTCCTGTTACCAGTTATAAATGATAGTAACTCACTTTTTATAATTGTTTATTAAGTGTTAAAACTGAATTAATAACCTAATTATAAGGGTGGTCTTATTGTAAAGTGGCGCCACCTGAGCGAAGTTTACCCAGGTCACTGTTGTTGCTGTTGTCTCTGTGGAGCTGCTGCTTCGGGGGAAGAGCTGGATTACAGACGTTTGCATACACACACACACACACACACACACACACACACACACACACACACACACACACACACACAAGCAGCTGCTGTCTTCTGCAGGACTTTGTCAGTTTGAGTCCGTGCGCTCGTGGTTTTGTCCCGTCCGGGCGGCAGGACAGCGTCTCTTTCAAAACCCTTTCACTAGGGGAGAAAATAGAAAATCTAATTCTATACAAACTGAGAAAAAAACTCGTCTTGAAAGTGATGTTAAAGCAGCGAGGACATTCTGGAAAAACGAGCACAAACTCTAAACAGTGTTTGCTGGACTTTTACCAGCTGGGAAAATCTTCTGAGGGGAAATGAGTGGACTCATTGCGCCCCCCCCCGCCCCGCCAGGAGCCTGTGGCCTGGTGGCCGTCGCTCAGGTGTGAATGTGGCTTCGCTGTGACGAGTCTGTAGCTTGTGGATGCTTCAGCTCTCAGTCTCCGTCACACTGGATAAATAAACATTCAAAAATAATAGTTGTTTTTACATTATCTGTATTTCCTGTAATCGGCTGTGGAGGTCGAGGCCGTCAGACAATATGAATGTTCTGAGTAATGATGGCTCTCCTTTAGTTTGGTGTTTGTTTTTCTTCCTCCAGCTGGAGTGTTTGTTTTCTTTTTTTCTTTTATATTCAGAGTTTTAAGGAGACTTGAAGTCGCTGACACAAACACCCAGAACCTGCTGACTCATCCATCCAAACTGCCAACAGGCAGCTCTTTGCCTGCGTCTGCTGCTCCGTGTTTGTGAATGAGTGTAGAACATATGAGCAGATTGGCAGCGACTCATCCTGTACTTTGACTCGGTCAATATTCAATAATATTGATCGATATATTTCCCGCCATATGCAATGTTTGTCATAACAGTTTTGTAGTCAGTGTTCGTTTTCCCTGCTGCCGAGTCTGACCCTCAGTTCACCTCCTCATTGGCTCACTGTAGATTGAACCTTGGCACGTGACAAATAAAACTTTGCTTATAGCTGAAACAAAATACAATAATATGATTATACATTTTAAAAAAGAAAAGAAAACATGTGAAGAGTTACATAAAGTTAATAATTTAATGAAAAAATGGTTTTTGAGATTTGTAGATGTAAACGGAGCATGTGTAAATATATGAGACACCTGCAGTTAGTTACTCTACTCCAGGTAAACCATTGTGTTTTATCACTTTATTTATTTTTTGTCTCTTATCTCGTGATATTCCTTGTTGGGAATGAAATAGTAAGAATTACCCGTCGACTTCAGGCTTCATTCTTGACTTCCAGCCATCAACTGTTACAGAAAGGCTCTTAAACATCTCACATTCTCCCTCCACTAAGTTTTCAGTTGCTGCATGTTGCTAGGCGGAACATTATCAGGGCAGATTTTCCTCCATTAACTTTAGTGTTAGCCACTCCGTTTTGAAATAATGTCACAAACAGCGTCTCAAACCCTTTTATACAGAGATCCCAACATCGTCGGCGGCGTCTGTCCCGCCAGGCCAGCTCTCCCTAGACGCAGCATTGACCCCTTGAACAGGTTGTGTGTGCAGGTGTTGCAGTCACGTGGACCTCAGTGATCTCCGAAGTGAGATCCTGATGTCACCTGTTTGAGAATGAATCTCTACCTTCATGTTGACTGTCGTCGTTTCCTCGTTGTGTCTCCAGACAATGTCTCTGCTGCTTCAAGGAGTACAAGCACCTGGAGGTCTTCAACCAGCTGGTCTACGCCCTCATTAACCTGGTCATCGCCCAGATCAGCAGCCTGAGAGACCGCCTCTGCAGCGTCCAGGACCACACTCATAAAGGAGGCGTGTCAGGGGGCGAGGCGTTGGGCTCCGAATGGAGTGGCGAATCTGCACCGGGGCCCCTCCCCCAGCCGTCCTCGCCCGGGGAGGACGAACCTGTGAATGTGGAGAGAGACTCTGCAGAAGAGGATGCCGACACCCCCGACCTCAACCAGAATAAGACCCAGCACCAGGGTCAGGGGGCCAACCAGCAGGGTGAAGCCCAGATGGAAGCACTGGGGCCTGGGGAGAGCGGCAGCGGGTCTGGGGTCGGCGATGGAGGCGACGGGGTCGGCGGCGGCGGCAGCGACACCCAGGACCCGTTCAGCTCCTGGAGCACAGAGGAGAGGGAGAAACTGCTGCTGTGTGCGGCCAAGATCTTCCAGATCCAGTTCCCCCTCTACACAGCCTACAAACACAACACACACCCCACCATCGAGGTGAGGACACGTCCCAGATCACACACACACACACCTGACTCCCACAGACCAAAACAATATCTTACACCTTAACGTTGCCGGAGCGTTTGTGGTTTATTCTCACACATGTGTTGTAGCTTTTCTGCTGATGACACCAAAACACATTCTGCTTTGTTCAAGCTCCTTTTTAAACGTGGAGTTCAGAAACTAAACATTAACAGCCTTGTAATTATTCTGTTTGCAGACGATACAAGTTTCCATGTCACGTTAAACTCTGCTGTTTCTGTTTTCTCCCTTCCTGTTTTTCTTCCCAGGACATATCCGCTCACGAGAGCAACATCCTCGGCTCCTTCTGCGACATGAATGTAAGGAACCTACTTTATCTTTATTCCAGTGAGTTGAGGGTTTTCATACCTGCTGCTGCTGCTGCTGCTGCTGCTGCTGCTGCTGCTGCTGCGTGTTGCATCAGGGTCAAATACGACCAATGATTTCACTGCAGCCAAAAAACACAGACTTCCTTTTTTATTTCAATGAATCTCCTCATGACTAATCCACTGTAAGCCGCTCTGAGAAGCGATGTCTTGCGGACGCTTCAAATTTTAAATTCGCCTCTTGTCGTCTTGTTTTCACGACGGTCGCGTCCCGTTCATTTATTCCATCCTGAGCCTGTTTTATTGGAACAAGCTCTCTGCCCAAACCCGACAGCTGCGCCGCATCCAGAGCGAGGGGGGGGGGGTGAATACTAGGCCTGAGGCACGTTGCGAATCGCTGTAAGAGATGAGGACATCAGTGTGTGCCAAGCAGTGTCACATGACCGCTGAGGAGACTCAGGTTTATTGGGCACATGTTTCCTCAGCGGGTCGGGCCTTCGCTCCCTCCACTCAGTCAGTTCAGCTGCTGCCTGAGGTCGCAGTGCGTTAGGACGGATCCACTGGAAAAAATAAAGAGAGTGCTTCATCATCATCATCATCATCATCAGCCTCATCAGCGGCGGCGGCGTCTCCTCCTGTGATTATTCTAAAGTATCTGGGAAACCATCTCCACTCAGCGGCAGTTTTCTTGTCACCCGGACAGATGTTAATATCTCGGAGTGAAAATCAAAACAGCTGTGTCTTGTCTGCACATCATTTATATACAACAGAATATTCAGTAGTTAATGAATGAGTTTGTATATATACAGTTTTCAGTCAATCTGACGCACAACGACTTGTATAATTGTTAAATAATTCCTTTGGCTTTAAAAACCTTTTTGTGTTTCAAATTTCATTCATCCGTCATTCAATTATTGATTAATTAAATACATTTGTCATTCAGCTTTACCAGAACTAAAACAGTTACACTCCTTTACACTCTTCGGTAAAGCCACAGCTAATAAACAACAACAACAGTGTGAAAGAAAAGTAAAATGGCCACTAGGTGTGTGTAAATCTAATGATATGCTTCCTGTTGGGTGTGAAAGTAATGCTAAGCTACTTAGCTTTGCATGGTAACACAGAGAAGATAAACACACGGTTCAAACTGTTCCTTCCACTTTAGTTCTCGTGTTTTTTGGTTTTGGAAAAGTGAACAAAACCCGACCCTCCAAACTGAAGCTCAGAGCCACATGTGGAGAAACCCAAAGGGGGGGGTGCACTGATGCTGTCAGATCATCCTCTCAAACTTAAAGTGTTTTCTGCTCTGGTGTGTTAATAGAAAAATATTTATTTAAATGATTAAACTGCAGCAGGACTTTTGTTCTGAAATCCGTTCTGCACGTCTGCTCCTGACCTGCCAGATAAACTGTATCTGAGATCTGACCTCAGAAACCTGACGCCCAGTGGCCACGTATCCAAATATAACCTCAGTCTGATGTGAGGTTTCGTGTTTCTTCGATCGCCTCTGTTCTGGATTTATTTTGTCCCGTGGACTCGGTTGACTTTTGTTTTTTTAACGTGGATGAACCGAAAGGTTTCGGACGGGAAATCCTCCCAAAAGCGGGAAATATATTCATAACAAAAACAAATGAGTTACTGTGAAAAAGAAAGACGGCGTTTCATTCTGGTGAGAATCACCTTCAATCAATTTCCTGCCGGGGGAAGACGACATACCAAATAAAAAAAAGCATGTAATCTCTAATCTTCTTCAATAACTGTTATTAACACAAGCAGCCAGTGTCACACCTGGTTAGAAGAAGCTAGAGGTAAAGCAGCTCTGCTCGTGCCGCGGTGTGTTTCAGTCATGACTCACAGAGGCTCAACGGTTTCTATCAGAAAGGTCTGATATCACAGTTTTGGTTTGTGTGTTTATTGTCGGTTTGTCGGGGTTTTTTAAGAATTGACTGTAGTTCTCTGTTTAGCTAAGTATTGTCCACATTTCCTGCCCTCTGGTTGTTTTGTCGACGCCCACATTATTACAGTGTGCTGAGCCTCATGAAGTCCGCGGTAACAGGGCTCCTCGGTGCAGCTCTTGATGTTCTGACATGAAAATAACAGCGCTCAGGAAAGGAATGCAGTATTTATACTTGGTGTTAAACGTTGCTCATGTGTATATTGTACTTTGTGGCCACTGGTCACCGTGGAACAAAAGCTGTGCTTCACTCGACCTCCGATAAGCATCAGGCATTGCCGTGAATTCGGTTTGGATTCCTGCAGATGAAGTTACCGCCCCCCAGAGAGGAGTAACGTGTCCCCGGACAGTCTGATAGCTTCCCGCCGTAATAAAGTTTTCATTAAGCGCAGGGACGACGGGCTGGAAGTCTGCTTCAGAGAAACCAGCTCGCTCTGTTTTTCACTCAGTGCAACACACAGTTTGAGTCGAAGTCAGTGGCTCTGGACCTGCTGGTTTGTTACAGTATGAACAGTCGGCATTGGAGTGACACCAGAGTTTTATTAGCAAACATCGGCCCAAACGTGATGTGAGTTTTTAATGTATCAAAACATCCTTAGAAAACCTCATAATTTCTGCTCATCATCCTTTTATTTTTACTGCTTTTTCACGATGATTAACCAGGTTTCTAAAGGAGGTCGTCAGTTTAAAGATGTTAAAGTGTCTGAATGAAATCAAACATCTTTTTGTTTCCTGTTGCAAAAAAACACTTTGTTTACATTAGATAGTTTGTGTTTATGCTGTTACTTATTTTTCAGTTTGCACATTATGTAAATATCTTTACAAACCTTCTTATTTATGGTTGATTTGTTATTTTTCTTCTTTATACTGTATTTATTACTCGATTACCCCATGCTGCAGTAACGAGTGTGGGGTCAATAAAGGTTTATCTTATCTCCTCTTCAGCGAGGACAAGCACAGCTCACAAACTGCCTCCGTTCCTAGAAACTAAACAAAAATAAAATATAAAATACCAATGTGCCTCTGATCACGGATCGTGAGTGTCTGACATGTGTCTGACGTCGTCTCCCCTCGTCCACCAGGACGTGGAGGTGCCTCTGCATCTGCTGCGCTACGTCTGCCTGTTCTGCGGGAAGCACGGCCTCTCCCTGATGAAGGAGTGCTTCGAGTCGGGAACTCCAGAGAGCCTCCCCTTCCCCATCGCCCACGCCTTCATCACCATCGTCTCCAACGTGAGTGCGCCGACCAGACGAGGAGACCGGCATCCACGCCTGAAACATTCTGACTCATCAATAAGTTATAATGAATGGAGTTAATAAATTGGGAAACTGTGTTGTTAGTTAGTTTCAGCTAGTCGCTGTAGTTTGAGAGGTGTCCAGTGAAGATTCTCCGCTGTACGTTGTGACGATGTGAGTTTGATGTTTGATGTTTTTGCTTGTGCCCACAGATCCGCATCTGGCTGCACATTCCCGCGGTCATGCAACACATCATACCGTTCCGCACCTACGTAATACGGTGAGTTCACGCCCAACATTTTTTAACCGAGGCTACAGTTTGATTTCATGAGGGAACAAAGAAAGAACAAACCTGCACAGAACAATCAGCCAATCCCTAATTCTAACAATAATTAACTTAATTCATGCATTGTTTTTCAAAACAAAGAGCGTTACATGATTCTCAACAGATTACTACATTAAGAAATAGAAATTATGCAGCAAAAATCGAGATTTAAAATAAAATAAACCAAAATAAAAGTGAAATAATCCAAAAATGTATATCTGTATAGAATCCAAACAAATCAAAGTAAAATGTGCATGAAATGAAAATAATCTTCTAATAATCTCTCAACTGTATATTCTTATCTGTGTGCAGGTACACAGAGCACTTTTCTGCACGTTTGTCAGTTTAATTAATTAAATAAAATCCCGTCTCCTCAGCTCTGGTGACAAAAAAAAAAGTGAGGAGAACATTTTTCCAGTTGAGTCGGAGCTCCTGCGCAGCCGCCTGACGTCTGTGTTGTAGTGTGTAGTTGACGGAGAAGCTGCCATTTTGTCGAACACCTTTCTTTCCCCTGTCAGCGCAGCGTTGAACAAACTCTGCTCCCAGATCAGACCGCAGCGTCTGCTCAGCAGCGCTGACGTCTCGACTCCGAAACAATAAATCAAGAACCCAGATATGATCACGGGGGTGTAAACGCTGACCTTCTCACTGTTGTGTTGTTCTGTGTTGTCAGGTATTAAAATCTTCCCTGTCTCACCTTTTTTTAAATGCTTTGGGAGAACTGTGTTTAAATATTAGCGTCATTGTGACGGATTTGATGTTTGCTGTCGTTTGACGGGAAGCAGCCAGACGAGCTCGATTCTGTCTCTCCCTCCCTCCCTCCCTCCCTCCCTCCCTCACTCAGTGCACCTTGCTCTTTCGCGCTCTCTCCCCCAAATACCAAAGTGCCACACGTTAGTTGCTAGGAAGAGCTTCCGTCGCCGTGGCAACAGTTGCCAGGCCTCCAGTCAACCTCTCCTCACATGACCCTAGAGGAGGCAGGGAGCCGGCAGAGCTGGTCATGTGACGCAGGCTGGCTGATGCTCTGCTGCTTCGCCGGCTCTTCTGTCTGACTGAACACCGGCTCTCAAACCGTTACCGTGATAAAAGTCATTATTAAAGGAACGTTCCCTAATTTGATTGTAACGGCTGGAGTTAATGTGACGGAGGAGCAGCCTCTGTCTGTGAAGCTCTAACATTTAGTGGTTGTTTTTTTTTCCTGTTAAAGTGAAACGGGACTCTAAAGGACAAAACGCAGCAACACGACAACACACATGTCGACACCTGCACTGAGCTGCAGGATTAGGGAACAAAGGTGCATGTGGAGACGTGAAAAACACAAAATACAGACTGAGGAAATCTGAAGCTTTGAAAAGTGCATGAACAGGAAATCTTTAAAAAAAAGCGAAGACTCAGCGAGATTAAGGTTAGAAACGCCGCCCCGGGCTGTGAAACTCACCCTGAACCCAGCAGGCCCTCGAGTTAAATGTGTTTATTTATTTATTTATTTTCTGGCTTTATTCTGTTAGAGAGAGAGAGAGAGAGAGAGAGAGAGAGAGAGAGAGAGGGAGAGAGAGAGGCTCTACCAGGTGTCACAAAACACAAGCAGTCAGACGGGATTTTGCCTGAATAAAAATGACAGAAGAAGTTACAGATGTTGTGTCAATCAGAAACTATTGCTCAGCTATTGGATGGATTAGACTGTGACATGAGTCCAGTGAGTCTGAGTGACTCTGGCGATCCGCTGACTCTAACTTAAACAACACCATGATGTAAAGTCTGAATTACCGTCAGGAGGATTCATCAACACTTCGGTGATCCCCTGACTCGGCGAGAGGCGGCTGCGGCTCAGGTGGCGGAGCGGGATGTCCGCCCATCACCGATCCCCAGCTCCTCCTGTGAATGAGTGAATGGAAAATCGAACTTATTAGCAACAGCTATAAACTGTTTGTGCAACACATCAGTTTCATGCTTTGTTTTGGAACTGTTACATGAAATTACATCGTCCGTATTAATTAAATAAATAAACAATTACCAAGATACTTGCAAATCTAATGACATTTCATTAGCTGCACCTGTTCTATTTGTTTAGTGCCAATTAGCAAATGTTAGCACACACCATGCTAACTCGGACGATAAACATCATACCTGTTAAACCTCTGCATTTCCATAGTTTTCACGGTTAGCTTGCTGACATGAGTAAAGCCTCAGAGCTGCAGATCTACTGTGTGTCCTCATAAAGAAAGGCTTGTTACAGTTTTCATTAGATGAGTGCAACATCTGGAGGAATACATCTGTAAGGAGCCCATGTAAACTATGTAAAAGTCGAGTGTATCTGCGTCTGTCTCAGCTTCCTTGTTCACATTTTTTCCCCCGTCAGTTCGTTGTAAGATCGTTCTCAGGGTTCAGTCCAGTTTTGCATCTCAGTAGCCGTTTGTCCTTTTTTTAATCTCCTTTGATCAGCAAAACTCAAACCCCTTCAGCAGCAGCTGGAACCTCCCAGCTCATCACAACACATCTGAAAACCACACAGCCAGCTACGAGCGGCTCAGAGCAAACACTGGATGAGTCAGCAGCGCTGCGCCGTTGATCAGATATCTCGGTGAACTCCTACGCGCGGCTGGAAAAGGAATGTGATTAAAAATCAATCTCAAAGATATGAACAAAGTTTTTCAAACGTCTGAAAAGTCGGTTTCTTAGAAAAACTGTGAAAATGTGAGTGAAAAACAAACTGAGCTCGGTGGCGTCAGGTCGCTTCAACATCACAGGCAGCATCTCTTGAAATGTGATATTTTGGATGAATTTAACATCTGTTCTTCATCACAGTGGCGATGTGTCTTGACACGCTGACCTCACTCGCTCATGTTCTTCCTGGTCTTCCACCCAGCGGTTAGCGCAGAGGACGGTGGGTTTGATTTGTCTGTCTGAGTGTCGGTGGGTAACTCCTGGGACGCTGTGTGCAGGTATCTGTGTAAGCTGTCGGACCAGGAGCTGCGGCAGAGCGCGGCGCGCAACATGGCCGACCTGATGTGGAGCACGGTGAAGGAGCCGCTGGACAGCGCGCTGTGCTTCGACAAGGAGAGTCTGGACCTCGCTTTCAAATACTTCATGTCCCCCACGCTCACCATGAGGCTGGCCGGACTCAGCCAAATCACTGTGAGTCGCACAGGCGCCACTCGCTCTCACCTCGTTTAACTGTCCTGTCTGAGACTCGTGTGATTCTCTCTTCTGGTTATTTTCAGTTTTAGTTTCCAAACCGTCAACACGAGAGCAGCTTCAGGGTTTTCGTCATTAAAGTCTCAGCTGCAGTAAAACCTGCGCTAACGTTTGATGAACGTTTCTCCTGATGGAAAATGAAAGTATTGACACGTTAATGAAAGTGTTTTTCTCTTGCAAGAGATTTCTAGGTTTTAGAGGGCAACACATAAGTTTTAAGAAAGTGTTTCCTCAGCTCTCGATTGTGGAAATCTTTCCTGGTTTTTAGGAACAAAAGAAAAGTTTTTGAATAGAAAATGAAAATGCACATATCCCCTGTACGGTGGCCACTTCAGGACATTTCTGACTTCTTTGTCAGACTTGATAGCAGCTGCTACGCTAACATGCGTTTAGTTAGAATTTTAAAATGTTAATACTCGGCATGTTTTAGTGATTAGCGTGTAGAGATAATAATGTTCCTCACAGACAATAAGTGACTGAGCAGGTTTTAGATGCTGAATTTTGAATCTCATTATAGTGATACACGTGTCGTTATAATTAAACCTGCTGTTGATTAATATGCCGTGTGAATATCTGCAGTAAAGTAAACAGAGTTGCAGTAACGCATCAGTATCTTACAAAGGCTGAAGATCTGTGTGATGAGTGTTCATAAGAAACTGATGATTACAGCCAACGGCTTTCTCTTCATGTGAACGTTTTGGTGTGACTCTGATGGGAAATAACCTTGTACAAAGACGTATGATGCATCGCTTCTTCACTCATTGTTACAAACGTGTGTGTGTGTGTGTGTGTGTGTGTGTGTGTGTGTGTGTGTGTGTGTGTTTTCTCAGAATCAGCTCCACACATTCAACGACGTCTGCAACAACGAGTCTCTGGTCTCTGACACAGAAACGTAAGTTGGCTGAAAGGGATCAGATGCCTGAGCACAAAGGCGTCTGTGAAGCTGGAACTTTATTGAACAGGAATAATAATAATAATAATAAACTTTATTTGAATAGCAGCTGATGAAATGATGAAAAAATTAATAAGTTTTGAGCTTTCTTTTAAAAATACTTAGTGATATCTCTAGGCCGTCACTGACCGGGGCTGCATCCCCAATTTTCCTACATCTGTAACTGGGTCTGCTTTAATTAATTGATGACACAATGGCATTTTAACTGATATCCACAAAGAGCGACTGTGCAGCGACCTGCGGAGCTCGGTTCAGTCGTGTCTTCAGTCGAGCAAACGTGTGATTCCCGAGTTGTCAGTAAATATTTTACGGCACGTGTGAATGACGTGTGATAAAATGACTAAAGAGGAAGAAAACTCATCTTCCTGTCACCTTTTTTATTTATTTCTTTTACACCTGCTGGGGTGATAAAACGATGAACACAACAGGTGTCACTATGCACACATCTTACGTGACGGGGAGCTGCAGCTTCCTGCTCGACGTGTTGAACTCCTGTAAACCTCTGTCACTGTTTTCCAGGTCCATAGCGAAGGAGCTGGCTGACTGGTTGATCCACAACAACGTGGTGGAGCACATATTTGGACCGAATTTGCACATCGAGGTGAGGCCTGTGAACCAGTGACGTAAACTGACACCATGTGTTTCTGTGTTTGTATGTAAACGTGTTAAATGCACACAGACTCACTTCTCCAGGTCCATCACTGCAACAGTGAAACGCTGGAGATTTTTTATTTTCTCCCAGCACAGCCATCCTGAAGAGTGTGTGTGTGTGTGTATGTGTGTGTGTTTTCCAGATCATTAAACAGTGCCAAGTGATCCTGAATTTCTTGGCTGCAGAGGGCCGACTCAGCACGCAGCATGTGGACTGTATCTGGGCTGCAGCCCAGGTAAGACGGGACAGATTAACACCTGACCGTACACGGCTTTATTCCAGCCCATTAACCTGTTAGTTCCTCTGCGGAGCCGCATCAGTAGCATCACTGTGAGGGATGAGAACGGCAGCGTCTGTCTGTCCTGGTTCATTTGTTCTAGTTTTAGTATCGTGCTCCTCAGAGCTAGAAACAATAAGAAGAAGAAATAAGTTATTTTCCACTGGATTTCAACAAGTAGTTCAGGGGGGGAGACTGTGCCCCCCCCCCAACCTCCTGAGTTTACTTGCTTTGTTATGCTTGATTCCTGGATGCCTACAGGATCATGATTATGTTATTTGATCACGTAGACATTCAACAGTCGAGCCAAGACAGTTTAATTCTGCTGTTTGACGTAAGTTGAGACTAAACCAAACACATAACAAAGATCTGTCCTGCTTTTTATTTAGTTTCTGACTCTGGGAAAGTGAGAAAAAACTGTAAAATTCCTGTATCTGTATCTCTTTAACCAAATCCCTCACAGGCTCCTTTACCTGATCTCTCCTTTTTGATAACTAATGTAATAACTCTGTATAATATATATATTCAGAACGATGTGTACTGACCTCCAGCTCTGCTAATCCGCCTTTAGAGGAACTTTGTGTTTTCTTCTGGCTGATTAAAACAGTTTTTTTTTGTGTTTGTAGCTGAAACATTGCAGTCGCTACATCCACGACCTTTTCCCCTCGCTCATTAAAAACCTGGACCCGGTGCCTCTCCGCCACGTCCTCAACCTGGTGTCTGGCCTGCACCCCAGCGCCCACACAGAGCAGGTACAGCCGCCGGAAAAAAATGACCTAAATAAAAAAAACCCCCACTGTGAACTTGCTCACACTGATAATAATAATCTCTCCTGCGCCTCCCTCTCTCCTCAGACGTTGTACCTGGCCTCCATGCTGATCAAGGCTCTGTGGAACAACGCCCTGGCAGCGAAGGCCCAGCTCTCCAAACAAAGCTCCTTCGCCTCCCTGCTCAACACCAACATCCCCATGGGCAACAAGAAAGGTCAGCCTGGATTCGTTTCAGTACGAGAGCCTGTCAAAACAGTTGCGTTAAGTTTTCTGAGGCTCTGGAGAAGCTTTGTGAAGCCGGAGAAAATTACTTAACTGATGCCAGTTGAGTGTCTGAGCTCGGGGGCTGGAGGCTTGGAGTTACAAATTGAAGGCGTGGGGTTGGAAAGATGTGGCTGTTAGTTCAGGAATGGAGGCTCTAATAAGAGGTTCTATTCAATGAAAGTGTTTGGTTCTAGTGTTTTTTGGAGTTTGACCCACACTAAGACGTAAAAATCAGTGTTTGTGTGGCAGGTTTGATTTCTCAGTCTGTGGTCTTGTCTGGTCTCAGGTTCGCCGGCCGCCAGTCCGGACAGCAGCGACAACAGCGACACTCAGCACAGCGGAGGCAGCGACATGGAGATGGACGACCAGATGATGACTGGCAGCAAGAGGAGCCAGCAGAGGCTTTCTGACACCGAGGTACACACACACACACACACACACACACACACACACACACTGATCTCCGAGCTGTCTCATTTATGAAACGTTTGCATTTCAGCTGTCAGTAACGCAGCAGACTCTTGGATACACAGCTGCTGACGGACACATGGAACTTGAAACATTTGAGCTGCATATTTGAAATTTTTAAACCATGAAAAAGCAGTTTTGAGTCTGTGGGATCAGAGCTGAACTGGAGGAATATTAATATAATAAATCGAGCTGTTAACAAGCGAAAGGACGTCATTTTAAATTCTGTGGAGGTTGTTTACAAAGATAGCAAATAAATCAGACTTAATTTTGGACATTCTGCATAACAAACACTGAGTCATGAGGCTTAAAGCTCCTCCAGTGTAAAGGTCTGTGTCCATGTGTAGTGTGATTATAGATCAGCTCTAGCTTCTATATTAATACTGTGAAAGTATCAAAGCCTCAGTCCACAGAGAAATGCACACAGCCTGTATTCAGAAACTGAGCCTTAAAACCAGCCGTCAGGACTTCTGGAACTTTGTGATGTCACAACAAAGCAGTCACCAAGCCCCGCCCACCTGGACCCACCATCCAAACCTTGCAGTATTTGGTTTCTCTGAGCGTTTTTCTCTCAACCCTCCTTTATTTTTATTGATCACTCAGAAAACAGTCAGCCAATCAGAAGAGAGGCTCAGAGCCTCCTCTCTTCTGATTGGCTCACCGACCTGTTGTTACTAGAGCTCCAGAGAGAAGCCTGAGAGAGGAGATGTGAAACTACACTGAGATGGTTTTTATATCTTCTGATGGATCAACACTGGAAACATGGAGCTTTAAATACTTAAAAACTTTATGTAAACTTCATTGTTGTTTGTTATTTGGCCATACTGTGTCGATTTTTTTCTTCTTCTTTTTTTCCTAAATCTATTGGTGCTGCAGTGAAGCAGGAAATTAAGTATTTGAGAGAGTCACTTAAGCAAGAAATCCTGGCTGGGTTATGATGCGTCATTTTCAATTCAAGAGAAAAAACATCGAGCAGCCGCATAAAAACCACTGAACATCATCCGGATTCTGTCCTTGTGTTTTATTTCCCATCAGACATTTTTAGTGGCTTGTGCATTTGAACCAGTTCCCTCACTTCTGACCAGCAGTGATTCTGACGTGTTTCTCTGTCGTCTCTCCTCAGGAGTCGATGCAGGGAAGCTCAGATGAGACGGCGAACAGCGTGGAGGAAGGCAGCAGCGGGCCGGGCAGCAGCAGCGGCCGCAGCGAGGCCTCCAGCAACGAAGCCGCCTCTAGCCGAGCCAGCCAGTCGGCCGGGAGCCCCGGCAGCGAGATGCACTCTGACGACATGGCGGACAGCGAGGCCTTAAAGGAGGAGGAGGAGGACGACGAAGAGGAAGACGACGAGGAGGACGACGACGACGACGAAGAGGACGAAGACGAGGGGAACCGGTCGGCTGCTGAAGGTGGTCAGCAGAAGGAGGCCCGGGAGCAGACGGAGTCGAGGAAAAGGAAGGCAGGGGAGGCGCTCGGCGAAGGGTCGAGTCAGGGGGCGGGGCCCAGTGGTACAGGGGGCGGGGCCAAATCCAAGGTTCTCCCCTTCAACCCAGAGACTTCTGCTGTCATGGTAACAGCAGCGTCGACGTCTTTAGAGGGCCGGATGAGGATGCTGGATGCCTGCTCGGCATCGTCGTCCGCTCGGCCCGAGGGGGCGGAGCCCCAGCAACAGCCTCCAGACATCGGCCCCTCCCAGATGGTCCAGGGGCCCCAGGAGCCTCCATGTCTGCCGCGGCCCGGCGACTTCCTGGGGGAGGCGATGGGCAGTGAGCTTTTTAACTGCCGGCGCTTCATCGGTCCCCAGCACCACCACCATCACCATCATCACCACCACCACCATGAAGGGTAAGGCTGCTGTTCTCTCCCTGACACTTCAAGTCTTTCATTTCGCTTAAAGTTTATTTATCCACCTGATTGATCTGTTTTTCCTCTCTTTGAAATCTATTCATTTCATTGATTCTGGTTTATTGCTGCCTTTGTAAAATATATTTTGAAAACTGCTCTATAAATAAAGAATATTATTAAGTCCTTTATAACTTCCAGAAGTGTTGAACAAAATTAACAAAATCCAGATTTCTCTTTTCTTTATGTCTTGACCGTGGCTCTCGCTACACGATTCTCTCTACACATAATAAGCTGTGCGAAGGCAAAGCGTGTACTTCCCTGAATTAGCACCAGAAAGACCCAACAAAATGCATTTGTGAATTTGGTTTTGGTGCGTGAAACATTAGCAGCTAAGGAAGCTCCGCCCTGAGGTTTGGCGTCTTCATTCTCAACAGATTTCATGTTATTCTGCCTTTAGCGTGTCAATATATTTTATCTGCACATTTAAAAGATGTTAGTCTGACGGTGGCGTTAGTTAGAATATCAAGTCATTAGCAAAGAAAATGATGGGGTTTAACCTCTAGGAACAATGAATATCCAGAGCAGCGTTTATAGAAATCTCTCCATTGCTGACCAATCACCTTCTCCATTTTCCCGCTCAGTCCCATGGTGGAGGACATGCTGAGCGCTGACGACGTGAGCTGCAGCAGCTCCCAGGTCAGCGCCAAGTCGGAGAAGAACATGGCCGACTTTGACGGGGAGGAGTCAGGCTGCGAGGAGGAGCTGGTCCAGATCAATTCCCACGCTGAGCTCAGCTCCCACCTCCAGCAGCACCTCCCCAACCTGGCCTCCATCTACCACGAGCACCTGGTGCAAGGTGAGCCGTTTTCACCGTCGCTCGTCGAATCGAGTCCCGAGACCAGAACCAGAGAAGCTAATTCTGTGAGTGTCTGTGCGTCTGCAGGTCCGGCTGTTCATAAGCACCAGTACTCCAGCAGCCACGCTGTGACCGACATCAACCTGGACAACGTCTGTAAGAAGGGCAACACCCTGCTGTGGGACCTGGTGCAGGACGAGGACGCGGTACGACCTGAAACTCCGCCAGTGTCTCAGTGTTTTTAATGTTCACACACGGTGCAGTGACTTTCCAGAGTTTCATCCTCGCAGAGCTTCCCTCTGAGATAAATAACTTTTAAGAACAGTTTTAATAATCAGAGTCTGGCTTCATTTTTCATAACTGAATTATTTAAGCGCCTGAATATTTAGTTTGTTCATCCCTGACGACCAGAGGTGAGAAAAACTTTTCTTATTAGAAAATTCATCAAAGTTATTACAAAGTGTAGCAGCAGGAACAGAAAATAAAAAGCGCCGGCAGCTGAGGAGAACAAAATGCCAAATAAATAAAAGAATCACTCAACAAAAACGGCAAGCAATGAGTCGGAGACGCTGCGACATGCAACCTGCAGCCTCGGTGTTTTCACATTGTGTTTTTTAAAGTTTTGAACGTGTGTGTTTTCAGATCCACCTGTCTGAGGGTCTGATTAACGAAGCGGAGAAGCTGCTGTGTTCACTGGTCTGTTGGTTCACGGACAGACAGATCCGAATGCGCTTCATCGAGGGTTGCCTCGACAACCTGGCCCACCACAGGTAAGAGTCAAATAATATTTTTAGTGTCTTTTCTTTTCTCCTTGGTTTTTATTTTTTTTATTTTTTAAATCCTCATCTCTCCTCCCGCCCTCAGGTCCGTGGTGGTTTCCTTACGTCTACTACCCAAACTTTTTGGCACTTTTCAGCAGTTTGGCTCAAGCTATGACACTCACTGGATCACCATGTAAGTAACGGTATCCTAGCAACTGTTAATAACCATAAACTGTGAGTTTGAGTCAGCATGTTAAAGAGCTAGTGTACCCAAAGCTATAAATTCAGACACATTTTACTACTAGACTATTTTTCCTTGGCACAAGGCTTCATGAAGTTTCTAATAATTCTTCTGAAGCACCACGTTAAAAAGGAAACAGAAAAGTTTCAGTTGGTCGTCCTTGTACTGATGTTGTTGGCGTTCTGTCAGGTGGGCTGAGAAAGAGCTGCACATGATGAAACTGTTCTTCGACGACCTACAGCACTACATCCACGAAGTCCGTGAACACCGGCACAAGTTTGCACTGTGAGTCTGTCGCCCCCCCTCACCGAGTTCAGGCTCGTCGCACCTCATGATTTCATTCACTGCTCAAACCAGATTTGATATTTAACGTGTATTTGTTTTGTTTTTTTTTGTGATTTTTAACTTCAGGTTATTTTAAAATTTTACTTAAACCTGATCCAAACACTCCAGCATTTCCATTTATACAACACGTTTGTCCAGTTAATTGTACGTATATGTGCATTGTCACTTTGAACATGGCCGACTTATCTTAACCCCTGAACTCCTCATGTGTTGCCAACTTACAGTGGACGCACAGAGGAGCAGCAGAGCGTCACTACAAACCCTGACCCATGCCTCGTCTGTTTGTCGTTGCAGGTACAGCCACAGTGCGGAGGTCCAGGTCCGTCTGCAGTTCCTCACCTGTGTCTTCTCCACACTGGGCTCTCCTGACCACTTCAGTAAGATTTCAGCTTCCTGGATTGATCAGTGTCATAACAAACAAACAAATTATCATGTAGGGTTGTTCGTAATGAATTTTGAGCGATTAATACTATGAGTGAAAGTTAAAATGAGAACAGTTAAAACCCCAGACTAACCCCACAGCCTGTCGACATGTTGCTGCTTCTGAATAAAAACCAGTAGACAAGCTGTCTGCTCAGCTGAGGACCGAGGTCGGTCTGGCCTGTTGATTTTAATTTTTTTATCTAATGCCAGTCTGACTCTGTGTTGCCCGAGCAGCAGCCTGGCTGTTCACACCAGAAGTGCGTTAATCAGCGGTTCTGCTCCTTTAATCACACACGGAGCTTTTTAATCTCTGTAACAACCTCATCAATTTATAGCGAAGAGCTTTTTAATCTGTTCCTGGATCAGCTGGGCGTCGCTTCTTCTGTGACAGTGACCTTGTCGGTTGAGGAGCGTCGGCTGTCGGTGTGTAAGGTCGTGAATCACAGAGTGAACTGATCTCTTAATATAAATGCACTTTGGATCGGGTTTGCTCAGGTGGTCGTTCTGTGTTTTTGACTTGAAATGTGACTATCCTCTTTTAGGAGACAGTTTTACAACCGTCATGAAACCCGTGAAGGTTATGACTGGTTATGATCGATCGTAAAAAAACACATTTCCTCGCAGATCCTCTGTGATTTCTACTCACACAGAAAGTTTCAGGTTTATGGGCCAAAGTTTTGAAATGTGAGTCAGTGGAATTTAAGTTTGTGGAGCTCAAAACATTGAAAACTTTCCTCTGCAGAGATGTATTAGTTATGGTTACTCTTGATAATCTGCTGTCGCCGCTGTCAGTGGTCTCTCCGGGTTTCTTATCGTAGTGAAATGAGTGGAGAGGAACGGCTGGGAGGCCGGAGGCTGGAAGTCACACGGAGAACTCAGGTTCACAGCAATGTAAAAAAAAAAAAAAGAAATAAATTAGATTTTTGCAGTAAATTAGCTTAAATATGCAAAAACAGCTCTCAGGTTGTTTTGCTTGGCTGTGCCGACGCATTTCCCAAAGAAAAGCAGATTTGTCACGGTCTGGAAATGAACTCTGGATGTGTGTCTGTTTTATTTTCTGTGAGTCTTCAGGGAACGATGCTAAAATAGAGCCCATTATGCAACCTGAGCTGCCCTACTGAGAACAATGTGACGCTGTGTGTGTGTGTGTGTGTGTGTGTGTGTGTGTGTGTGCGCAGGAGAAAATTATGTAACACTGATGAGGATAGAATGTAATATTCTTGTAGTATTTTTGCCACATTTAGCCCGGTATGATCACCCGCGGCAAACATTCAGGGCCCATTTTAAATTTAGCAGATCTGACTCAGTGAGTGCAACATGTGTAGAAGCCTCAGTTCCTCAGACACACACTGTAAGACACCACAGGTAAGACACCACAGGTAAGACACCACAGGTAAGACACCACAGGTAAGACAGGAAAGAGTCAGAGCCGGAGTTCCTGTCAGTGTTCGCTCATTGAATTTGGGCCAAGTCTGGGAGTTTGATATAAATTATACAGAAAAAGACGGATGTGTGAGAAACTGAAGTCTGAGTGAAGCTGTTCACTGTCGCAGAAAAACAACATTCTCACGTCACAGAATTCTTCATGTCGGATTTGTCTGCGTGTCGTTCCTTTGTGACATTTCTTGTCATTTTTTTTTATCTTAACAGACACATTTATACAAGTATTATCAGCTTTTATTGTAGTAATGATTTTTGAGAGGTTATCATTTATGTTTTGTTTCCTTTTCAAAGGTTTAAAGACCAAGTGTTCCCCGTCTTAGAGGAAAACCCAATGTTGTGTAGCTGAAACATTCTCCTCTTTCTTTTACTTTAAATCATCTTGTGATCGTTCATGTTTATCTTGGGATCTGTCCTCCATGTTTGGCACTGCTGCGTGAGACAGGAAATAGGGAGAGATTTTGAAGCTGGTCGTAGAGGAGGTGGAGGAAGAGTCTGTGTTTGCGTTTATCTGAGCTGCTGTGCTTGTTTGTGTGTTTGTGTCTCTCTCCAGGACTGAGTCTGGAGCAGGTGGACATCCTGTGGCACTGTCTGGTGGAGGACGCCGAGTGCTACGACGACGCGCTGCACTGGTTCCTCAATCAGGTCCGCAGCAAGGACCAGCACGCCATGGGCATGGAGACCTACAAGCACCTCTTCCTGGAGAAGGTACAAACGACTGGAGGTCTGACTGAACTCGGTTCAGTTCAAAGATTTTCTCTGCTCCTGGAATATCTGGGGAAAAAAGCCATCAGTGCGTCACAAGATTTTAGTCTTGAAAACATCCACTGAGAATGAACTGAACCTGGTGCATAAATGCTGCCACTACAACTGAATAAAACTCTTCAGATGTAAACTGAAGAGCTGCACGACCAGTTTCTTTCCTCAGGCGTATTCAGAAACAGTTTCTGGTGGAGGATCCATTTATCTGTTGATTTTTCTAATCCACTCATCCCTGTCAGACTGGAATCAATCCCAGCATGCATTAGCGGTTAGTTCAGGAGACATCTGGCAGCACTTTCAGAACAACCGCCATGTTTTCCTCAGTTTTCTAAAAATCAAGACACGTTTGACAAATAGTTTTCAGAGGCGTTTGATGTCAGTGAATCGGAGAGCTGTCAGTCGACGGCGGAACAGGCTGCTGGAATAAAGTGTGTAAATGAAGCTGCGCGGTCGTGTTGTGAGGTTACGAAGTTGAGGAGATTTGATTCGTTCTCCTGCGATATTAAAGAGTCAGTTTCCTGAATGTGTTCCACTGGATGGATTGAAGATCAGCCGGAGTGGAAACACAGCGACGACCCAGTGAGCAGCTGGAGCAGCAGCTGTGTGTTGACTTTACTTGTGTGTGTGTGTGTGTGTGTGTGTGTGTGTGTGTTAACATTACTGTGTGTGTCTCCAGATGCCTCAGCTGAAGCCGGAGACCATCAGCATGACGGGACTCAACCTCTTTCAGCACCTCTGTAACCTGGCCCGCCTCGCCACCAGTGCCCTGGACAACGCCTCCAGCTGTGAGGTACGGACTCCTTCCCTCCTTCATGTTCACCTCAAAAAAAATAACAAAAGCATGTGACGCCCAGACGGTTAACTCTCAGTCCTGTGTGTCTCTCCAGCTGTGCGGCATGGACCAGCTGTGGGGGATCGCCCTGAGGGCCCAGTCAGCTGATATCAGCCGCGCCGCCATCCAGTACATCAACTCCTACTACATCAACGGTCAGTTCACCTCCGCCCTCACACCTTGTTCTGTCTCTGGCCTTTTAGAGCAAAAGCCGACAGACGTCATGTCGTTTATTAGAAAGCTGAAGATTAAAGTTCATATACACTGTGTGAGCGCGTCACATACTAGCGCCGGCTGCTGCCGATGATTTCCTGAATCGATTCAGTTCTGGTTCACGAGGTTTTCATTTCGATGTCGATTCAGTTTGAGAGTTTTCAGTTAAAATGCCAGTCTTTCTTGGATATGAAAGAGATTCTCAGAGAATTAAAGCTGTAAAATGTTCCTCTAACGTGGCGCGTTACTTACGAGAATCACCTCGTATCCCTCCGCCACTCAGACTAGTTCCAGGTTACATCCCTGTTTATCCAGAGTCAGAGAAAATATTAAACATCGGTGTGAATTTTTATCACAATCTCTAACAAAGGGTTTTCTGAGGTCACCGTGCCCTTGACCTTTGACCTTTTACCACCAAAATTTAAGTTCATCCTTAAGTCCAAGTGAATATTTTCGCCAAATTTAAAGAAGTTCCGTCAAGGAAGTTTCTGAGACATCGTGTCCACGAGAAGGAGACAACCTGAAGCGAATATGCCTCGAACTCATAAAAATATTAATGTTTACATTACGAACGGACCCGAAGCAGATTCATAAACCCCCTTTCTGTTAAACTCAACCAACACTTCAAGACTGGCTGGAGAAGTAGGAGCTGTAATGTGAGGCGTTTAACGTTCCTCAGTGTATGAACCGTCTTGTGCAGAACTTTGCTTGTGTGCAGCTCGTCACCGTCTTCGTGGTGTTTAGATCTGAGATGCAGCCACTGCATCTGCCTGTAGACCTGCCCGCTGACGTCATCGGAGCCGCGTCGGCCATGTTTTTATCTCTCGCTTCATATGACCACATCTCATCACGAGAGCTTCACACGTCCGCAGGAGACGTAGATTTAAAGATCGTTTTATATAAAACTTTTCACATAGAACTTGAAATTCGTAACCCATATGAATATATTTCAGATACATTAAACACCAAAAAGAACAACTGAATATTTAGTGTCTTTACAAAAAAAAAACCCACATGTTTATGTTTTCATTTCAAAAACTTCAGTGGAATAATTTTGCTTTGACGTCGATCAACAGAAAAAGACTTTAAAACCTTTCTACACATGAATCTGAACTTTCATCCGATGATTTTCAGTTTTTCACCTGCACCTTGTCTCTGTGTGTGTGTGTGTGTGTGTGTGTGTGTGTGTGTGTTTGACGTGTCCAGCGGGAAAGACGGGGCTGGAGAAGGAGCAGGAGTTCATCAGGAAGTGCATGGAGAGTCTTCTGATGGCGTCGGCGAACCTGGAGAAGGACGCTCACTCCAGCCTGACCAGCATCGAGAGAGGGCTGCTCATGCTCAAAACACACCTGGAGGCCTTCAGACGCAGGTACCTGCCCGCACCTGGACTCGGACATATACAATCGATACTGATCACGTATAAACACGCCGCTTCGTTTCCTGTCCCTGTCAGGTTCGCCTACCACCTGCGGCAGTGGCAGATCGAGGGGACGGGAATCAGCAGCCACCTGAAGGCTCTGAGCGACAAGCAGTCTCTGCCGCTCAGGATCGTGTGTCAGCCCGCCGGCCTACCTGACAAGGTGACGCAACAAACCACCACTTAGAAACGGTTACTATGCAGTGCACTGTAACAACTCAAAGCATAGAGTGTAAAACAACGGACACTTCAACAGTCGCCATCTTGGCTTCGAGGAGTGAGGACACCACGTCACATGACACATGACATAGAAACAAAAGAATCCGATTTGAGACACAGCAGGTGAAAAGTCTTTTTAGTGGCAGATAAAATGTCACTAAATGATAAAATGATGTTTTATTCTATAGGAAGAGGTGAAATTACATAGTGTCTGTGTTCAGGAGTCATAATGTAGATATGATTAAAGTCACGACGCAGCTTTTATTACTGTGATCTGATCGTTTTTAAATTACTGTGATGGAAATGAAATGAAAATGAAGAATCCTGCCACTGGGGGGCTCCAGAGATTTAACACGAGTCATTGTAGAAAACTCTCCACACGGGCTTTAAACTGTTTAAAGTTTTCAAGCCACATTTTAAATTGAATTTTAATGTCACGCATCACGTGAGTGGATCAAACCCAGGTTCACGTTGTCCTTGTGTGCAGATGACCATCGAGATGTATCCCAGTGACCAGGTGGCAGACCTGCGGGCCGAGGTGACCCACTGGTACGAGAACCTGCAGAAGGAGCAGATGAACCAACAGGCTCAGCTGCAGGAGTTCGGCCAGAGCAGCCGGCAGGCGGGAGACTTCCCAGGTGAAGTCTTCTTTGCTGTTTGTTATAGTTCAGTTGTCAGAGCGTCGGAAGCAGCTCGTTGGTTAATGCGTGTTTTAAAAAGCTGCCGTGAGCTTGTGCGTGACGTGTGTCGATGTGTCTGCAGGAGGTTTGATGGGACCCGTCAGGATGATCTCCTCCGGCCACGAGCTGACCACAGACTACGATGAGAAGACGCTGCACGAGCTCGGCTTCAAAGACATGCAGGTGACGTCCTGGTTTCTCCCTCGCTCGGCTGAATTCTGATTCACTTTTTTTTGAGTCTTTCGTCGTGTCAGTGGCAGATTGAGCAACAACTGATCCAACTGAGTGAAGCTGAACAACACGGATGATTCATCTCTGTGTCGTGTTTGTTCCCAGATGGTGTTTGTGTCTCTCGGAGCTCCGCGGAGAGAGAGGAAGGGGGAGGGCATCCAGCTGCCGGCCTCCTGCCTGCCTCCCCCACAGAAGGAGCACATCCCCATGCTGCTGCTCCTGCAGGAGCCTCACCTCACCACGCTGTTCGACCTGCTGGAGATGCTGGCCTGCTTCAAACCGCCCAGCCCTAACGCCGAGAAGGTCCACGAGAGCCCCGAGGTGGGTGTCGGTGACGGAGGAGACTCTTTGTTTCGACGTATGATGTGGACAACAGAGCTATATAATCTTATTTTATATTTTATGACCGTTAAAATCGTGTCTCCTGCAGAGCGCGCGGTGCGAGGAGCTTCACCTCCACGCGGAGAATCTGTCCCGGCGGGTTTGGGAGCTGCTGATGCTTCTTCCCACGTGTCCCAAGATGCTTCAGGCCTTCCAGAACATCTCAGACGACACGGTCAGTCACAGCGCTTAGCAACCAACTTTCACCAGCTCACGGCTCAGTTAACGAACTCTGGGTTCAGCTTTTTCTAGAGTCGCACCGACGTTTAACAATCACACAGGGAGAAGAGGAAACAGATCGACTTGTAATTTTCCTTTTATAATTGATCCGTGTGTGTGTGTGTGTGTGTGTGTGTGTGTGTGTGTGTGTGTGTGTGTGTGTGTGTGGGTGTGTGTGTGTAGAACGGGGAGGGTCTGTGCTGGAAGGAGCTGCTGAGGATTAAAAGTCCTCACAAGCTGTTGTACGCTCTGGAGATCATCGAGGCTTTGGGAAAACCCAACAGACGCATCCACAGAGAGTCCACCGTAAGAAAGACACTGCATATTTATTTAAAGCCTATATCTGGTATACTTCATGTTTTTCTATTTGTTTTGTAGTTTTCTTTACTTTTGAACAATTTGAAGACAGTAAAACAGATTAATGACTGAAATGATTTAATGATTCATCAATCAAGTCCTTTCAGTGTCTAAAACATCTGGATTCATGTTAAATGACTGATCCTACAAGAGGATTACATGAAACAAAATGATAGAAATAAAGGTTACTGATAGTGTGTGTGTGTGTGTGTGTGTGTGTGTGTGTGTGTGTGTGTGTGTGTTTTCAGGGCAGCTACAGCGATCTGTATCCAGACTCGGACGACTCCAGTGAGGATCAGATAGAGAACAGCAAGAACACCTGGAGCTGCAAGGTAGAGTCCAGCGCTGACGTCACAGTCCAGACACACACACACACACACACACACACACCAACACGAGCTCGAACGGGGGAAGAAACTGCACAGCGAAGTGGTTTTAGTTGGTTTTCGTGTTTCTCTGATTCTCTCTCAGTTTGTTTCGTCTGGAGGACTCCAGCTGCTCCTGGAGATCTTCAACTCCGGCATCCTGGAGCCCAAAGACCAGGAGTCCTGGACTGTGGTGAGAATTTTATACATGTTCATGTGTGAGTTGTTTGTTTTGATGTTTCTGAATGAAGACGTTTGGAAGTCTCAGACGTATGCTGGTTAGAAAGCTTCATGTGAGACAGGAAGTGCTGCCTCCCTGACTGTGTGTCGTCTCCTGTGCAGTGGCTGCTGGACTGCCTGGCCTGCCTGCTGAAGCTGATCTGCCAGTTTGCGGTGGACCCCGCAGACCTGGACCTGGCCTACCACGACGTCTTCTCCTGGTCCGGCCTCGCCGACAGCCAGCGGAAACGGGCGTGGCCGGGCAAATCCCGCAAGTCCACCGTAGACCACGGGAAAGGCCTGCACATCCCCCGGCTGACGGAGGTAAACACTCCGCCGGCTGGATGAACTCGGAGCTGATGTTGAGGAGCTTTAGCGGCAGAGATGACCTTTGACCTTCTGGGGTTTGTTTGTTTGTTTTTGTTTTTAGGTGTTCCTCAGCCTCGTCCAAGGCACCAACCTCATCCAGCGTCTGATCAACGTGGCCTACACCTACGACAACCTCGCACACAGGTGACGGATCACTCTCAGTCTGAAGGAAAAGTTCAACTCTTTTTGTCACATTAAAATACCAACATCCGTATGTTCTGTTTGTTGTGCAGAGTTCTTAAGGCTCAGTCTGACCACAGGTCCCGACATGAAGGTGAGAAACTGTTCTACATGATCATAAACAACAACATTTCCTTCCGGCGGTGAAATGTAAACTGACGCTGCTTGTTTGCGTTTGTTTACCTGCAGTGACTCACTACTCCATGTGGCTGCTGGTGAGCTGGGCGCACTGCTCCTCCACGGTGAAGTCCAGTCTGGCCGACAGCGACCACCTGCACGACTGGCTGAAGAAACTCACGCTGCTGGTGCCTGAGGTGAGCCAATCAAAACACCCACAAAGTCCTGCAGCAGTCTGGAATTAAATCATCACCTTCATCTGTGAATCTCACTAATTAACGCATTTTATTTCACTCCTTTAATCTGCACAAAGATTGTTGTGCAAGAACAAAAAGTTGCGATTTTATTTTATTTTATATCTTACTTTAACAAACAAAAAAACAAATTTTCCTCTTAATTTTTCTTTTTTTTGTGATTTTATCTTGTTAATTAAATGAGATATAACATGTTAATCAGTGAGCTTCAGAGACGCTGGTTTTACCGATTTAGTTTCCTTTGCACAGAGCTAGGCTAGCTGTTTCCCATTGTTTCCAGTCTGTATGCTAAGCTAAGCTAATTGGCTGTAGCTTCACATGAACTGTACAGACATGAGAGTGTTATCAAACTTCTCCGTGCAAATAAGCATATTTCTCTCTGAACTATTCTCTTAAACCAGATGTTTTATTTATGATTTGATGCACATGAGCAGGTGCACTGCAGAATTCAGTCGATTACAAAAAAAGGCAAGTTGGTCAATGGTCTTAATACCAAGCATTAAAAAGTCTGAAATCACATCCTGCTCTTTCTTCATGTGATCTTCAAGAGAGGAAAGTTTAAAGTTTCTGAAACTAAAAGCAACTTGGCAACAAAACTGAAGCAAGGAGCAGCTAAACTTTGTCCAGCTGTAGACGTTTGCTTTACCTGACGTTTTCATCAGCGCGTTGTAACGTGTGCGTTGCTGTTGTCGTCAGCCGGCGGTGAGACACGAGGCGTGTAACGGCCTCTACAAGCTCTCTCTGTCGGGTTTGGAGGGAGGAGAGTCCATCAACAGATCCTTCCTGCTGCTCGCCGCCTCCACGCTGCTCAAGTTCCTGCCTGACGCACAGGCCCTCAAACCGCTGAGGGTGAGTCACACACACACACACACACACACACACACACACACACACACCTGCTTTCACCCTGCTGGAAGAAAATACAAATCACACATTCAAAGGAAACTTGTTTGCAAGCTACACTCTGTGTCAGAAGTCCTCAGCGACGGTGATCTGACTCAATTTGAGCTTTGCTACAGAGAATCCAGGTTGTTTCTGCGAGACATTGTCCCTCTGCTGGGATTAATGCTGGAGACACTGGGACACACTCACCTCTTCTTCATCTGCACACAGACAGGGATAAGTCTCATCACAGCCACTGGGGGTGCAGAGACCCTCAGCAGCTGCAGACAAAACGTCCTCTCTTTATCACACTCAGACTGATGTTGATGACTTAAAGCTCCCTCCAGTGTAAAGGTCTCTGTCCATGTGTAGTGTGATTATAGATCAGCTCTAGCTTCTATATTAATACTGTGAAAGTATCAAAGCCTCAGTCCACAGAGAAATGCACACAGCCTGTATTCAGAAACTGAGCCTTAAAACCAGCCGTCAGGACTTCTGGAACTTTGTGATGTCACAACAAAGCAGTCACCAAGCCCCGCCCACCTGGACCCACCATCCAAACCTTGCAGGATTTGGTTTCTCTGAGTGTTTTTACCTGAAATCTGCTTTATTTTTATTGGATCACTCAGAAAACAGTCAGCCAATCAGAAGAGAGGCTCAGAGCCTCCTCTCTTCTGATTGGCTCACTGACCTGTTGTTACTAGAGCTCCAGAGAGAAGCCTGAGAGAGGAGATGTAAAACTACACTGAGATGGTTTTTATATCTTCTTATGGATCAACACTTCAGATAAAACACAGAAGAAGAAAACGTGGAGCCCTGTAATGTGATACTGATGTTCCTGATCATGTGGTGTGTCTGCAGGTGGAGGACTATGAGGAGGAGCCTCTGTTGAGGACGGGCTGTAAGGAGTATTTCTGGCTCCTCTGTAAACTCATCGACAACATCCACGTTAAAGACGCCAGCCAGGTGGGCGCCTCACGCCACAGCACTGACCATCAAAATCAAAAGAGCCTATTGGTGTGTTATTGATAGCTTGGTAGTATTGTTGTGATGTTTCATTGAACTGTTGCTAGTATTGGTCTGTTTGAACTCACAGAAGGTCTCTCCCTCTCTGTCGCTGGCCGGCTCGATGCAGACCACCCTGCTGGACCTGGACGCCCTCGCTCGCCACCTCGCCGACTGCATCAGGAGGTCAGACGGTCAAACGCTCAATACATGAGATTTATATACAGTGAAGTGCATGCTGTTTTTTTTAAAAGATGTTTTTGGGACAGTTTGTGCAGCCTAAATTCCTCATGGCCTTTTTTGTGCTTTTATTGTGAAACCAATGTTTATGGTTACTTCTCTTATTGTGGTAGTTTTGGCCATGATTCAAATAATCTGGTTAAACAGATTTAACAGAACTTCAGATTTAATGGTGGTTAACGTCATTACAGCGCGAACACTGACGTGGAAAATACAAATCACACATTCAAAGGAAACTTGTTTGCAAGCTACACTCTGTGTCAGAAGTCGTCAGCGACGGTGATTTGACTCAATTTGAGCTTTGCTACAGAGAATCCAGGTTGTTTCTGCGAGACATTGTCCCTCTGCTGGGATTAATGCTGGAGACACTGGGACACACTCACCTCTTCTTCATCTGCACACAGACAGGGATAAGTCTTTTCATCACGCTGCTCTTCGAACATATTTCCCGACAGTTTAAGAAGCAAAGCTTGTAGAGAAATGAAAGTTTTGTTTTAGCAGTAATGGTTTTCTTGGTTTTCTTGGTTTTCTTGGTTTTCTTGGTTTTCTTGGTTTTCTTGGTTTTCTTGGTTTTCTTGTCCATGAAACAAAATCACAAGGAGCCACAGAACTCTGATCTGATGAGCCGTGGCTCAGCCGGCGAGCTTTGTCTTCAGCTGTATAGAAATTAAATTGTAGAGCAGGTTGTCAGCCGTGTGGAAGTTTCCCAGTAACTCAGTGTGACCTCAGTGTTCCTCCGTCCTCCAGCCGCGAGATCCTGGACCAGCAGGACGGGACGATCGAGGACGACGGGCTGACCGGCCTCCTGCGTCTCGCCACCAGCGTCCTCAAACACAAGCCCCCCTATAAATTCTCCCGCGAGGGGCAGGAGTTCCTGCGGGACGTCCACAACCTCCTCTTCCTCCTGCCCAGCCTGGCCGACCGCGCTCAGCCCAAGTGCAAATCCCACGCCGCCCGCGCCGCCGCCTACGACCTGCTGGTGGAGACGGTGAAGGGCTCGGTGGAGAACTACCGGCTCCTCCACAACTGGGTGATGTCACAGCACATGCAGGGTGAGGACACACACACACACACACACACACACACACACACACACACACACACACACACACACACACACAGATCAGGAGTCAGGATCCCACTTCTAGGTCATTTAAAATGAATTTCTTTCCTTTGATGGGTTTTAATGACGAGCTCTGGATTTTGATATCTGGGAATATTTCTAACTAACATCACAACTTTAATGACTTTTAGAAGTTTTCGCGTTGCCTGATTATTGGCCACTACAGCAGGTGGCAGGAAAACACACGGACACACAGCTACCATCATATCACAGCTGATTCATTTGTTGTGGTTAACGTGTCGGCAAACAGCTGCTGTTTACACACACACCAGACACAGAGCGACATTATAATTTACCTGGAGTCGTGTTTCTGTCCTCCTGACTCATGTTCGTCATTCACCTGGTTATTAAAGTCTGCGAGCTGCACTCTGAGCCAGTCGTCCTGAAGGACAGTGAGAGACTGAACACACTGAACGCCTCCTCCTGTCTACAGTTTATGACACTTATGAATGTGGTTCTTCAGGCTGTTATAATTCATTAGATTTGGGACCTTGGGGTCAAAAGGAACTCCAAAGCAAAGCAGCTACGGCTAACATGTTAGCAAAAGGCAAGCTCTCTTTTAGCTTTGGTTTGGTCTCGACCACCTCCTGAAACAAGCATCTGCCAGCAGCTGGTCTCCAACTGTGTCTGAGTGCAGTTTGGTTCTGTGTAGGTTGTTGACAGGGCGTCTTATCGCAGCTTGTTTGCTGAAAACAGCTGCTGATTGGAGCAATGACTCTGACCCAGACTTTAAATTCACTGTAAAACCAAAACCACGAGCTGTAAGAGGCTCATGGCTAGTTACCACTTTGACATTGTTCTATCGTGTTAATGTAAAAAATAGGTGTAAATACATATGTTTTAAAAGCCATGATCACCTTCTTCTTCTTCTTCTTCTTCTAAAACTGTTGTTGATCCCCCTCCTCCCCCCTGCAGCCTCTCACGCCCCGTACAAGTGGGACTACTGGCCCCACGACGACGTCCGGGCCGAGTGTCGCTTTGTGGGTCTGACCAACCTGGGAGCCACCTGCTACCTGGCCTCCACCATCCAGCAGCTCTACATGATCCCCGAGGCCCGCCAGGCCGTCTTCACCGCCAAGGTCAGCACCTGCACGACGCACAGGAAACCGCTTTCTACTTTCCTCAGGAAATTCAAAGTGTGTAGATTCCTTACCGTGTGTGTGTGTGTGTGTGTGTGTGTGTGTCTGTGTGTCTGTGTGTGTGTGTGTGTGTGTGTGTGTAGTACGCTGAGGATATCAAACACAAGACCACGCTGCTGGAGCTGCAGAAGATGTTCACGTATCTCATGGTGAGTTGATTGTTAAACCTCTAACTAACGCTTCGTTTTTAACAACAACACAAATAAACCGCTGAATGCACCTTTTCCTCATCGTGGAGCCTGTTCAGTCAACATGTTTATTAAAGTGCCTTCACTTCAAAGGAGCTATTTGTAGGTTTTGCTATTGCTACATAGCTAACGTTAGCATTAGCAGCTGTTCACTTACCAGTTCTTGTCAAGAGCTTCGTACAAGACGAGAGGTTTTTTAATGCGTCCTCTGAGAAGACAAGACGCTACAGTGACTCGGTATCGGAAAGTGACAAGAGCTAGCTACTTAGCATGCTAACTTCAGTAGAAGAAAAGAAGTGATAGAAATAGAAGCAAAACAAGGGTTGATTTCCACCTCTGGAGACAGATGTTGGTGAGTAAAGGAATACTTCTAGACTGGTAAGTAAACATCTGGTAATGCTAACGTTAGCTTTGTAGCAATAGCAAAAACGTACAAATGGCTCCTTTAACATCATATGCACATTACAAACATGAGCTCGTGTGAGCTTTCATACAGATGTGTGAACAGCTGCAGTCCTGCATGTGAAAACCCATGTTGTCATGTGCATGATGTTTGTGGTTACATCATGTAAAGTCGTCCTTTCAAACTCCGCCTCCGTCTGCGCAGGAGAGCGAGAGGAAAGCCTATAACCCCCGGCCCTTCTGTAAAACCTACACCATGGACAAGCAGCCGCTCAACACCGGAGAGCAGAAGGACATGACCGAGTTCTTCACCGACCTCATCACCAAGATCGAGGAGATGTCGCAGGAGCTGGTAAAACACACACCTTCACACACATCAGACAATTAGCAACTCCTCGTTGTGTTTCCCGTGCCGCCATTTTAACACTAAACTCATTTTTATTACATCTCTGAAAAAGTTATTTTATTAGGAACACCTGTGCACCTGCTTATTCATGCAGTTATCCAATCGGCCAATCATGTGGCACCAACTACCCAGCGTCAGTCTGGTGTTCCTAATAAAGTGCTCGCTCAGTTCAGTTTTACATATTTAACAGCATCAGTAATAGTGTGTAATGAACTTTCTCTTCACTCTCAGAAAAACACAGTGAAGACTCTGTTTGGAGGCGTCATCACCAACAACGTGGTCTCTCTGGTGAGTGTGACCAATCTGGAAATAAATAAATGAAGATTTTTCTTTCTAAGATTTGTTTTTCACCTCAAATATTCTGAGCTGGATGTGAATTTAAAAGTTCAGCTCTTCACTGTCGTCGTGTCCGTCCTGCAGGACTGCGACCACGTCAGTCAGACCGCCGAGGAGTTTTACACGGTCAGGTGTCAAGTGGCGGATATGAAGAACATCTACGTGAGTATATATATTAAACACACACGGGGATCAGCTGTGAAACGATCTGAGGCCGTCTCACACTTCACACATGATATTCTGCTGCTCAGGAATCTCTGGATGAGGTGACCATCAAAGACACTCTGGAGGGCGACAACATGTACACCTGCTCGCAGTGCGGCAAGAAGGTCCGCGCAGAGAAGAGGTCAGAACAAATCTAAACTCTTCATCCGTTCAGTCACAGTTTAAAAAGAAAAAAAAGTCTTGACACGAGTCTGCGTGATGAATCCTTTCCCTCAGGGCCTGTTTCAAGAAGCTGCCTCGCATCCTGAGCTTCAACACCATGCGCTACACCTTCAACATGGTGACGATGATGAAGGAGAAGGTCAACACGCACTTTTCCTTCCCCCTGCGGCTCGACATGACGCCTTACACCGAGGACTTCCTCATGGGAAAAGGGGAGAGGAAAGAGGGTGAGTGGCTCTGAAACCTGCAAGTAACAACTCTAGTTTCATATTTGCTTTCATTGTTTACATTCACGAAGCTGCTTCCAAGAGCTGTTTGTATTTTCCTAATTCTTCTGTTTGTTCCACAGAACAAACTAAAACAAGTGTGAGAGAGAAACTGCAGGATTCATGGGAAACATGATTTTGAAATCATCAAAAATCTTGAGGGGAACTCGTTCGTTGTGCAAAGTCTAGACTAAATGTTCCCTAAATGCCTCAGATCTACACTATGGGAGACGGCACAATTTACAGATGTTCCCTGAACGCCTCACGTGCAGACTATCTGTAGACGCTAGCTACAGCACGTAGCATCGTCAGCAGCCCAAGTAGGGGGGCAGAAGTGCACTTTATTGGTCTTTATCAGGGGTTTAAGAGGGTTTATACTTGTCATTGCAAAATGTGCCAGTAACAGGGGCCATCAGGGGCCCCCCTTTTCTCCTTAGGGGCCCCAAACATTTTCCAGGTGTGACGTTCCTGACGGTGAAGATCTCCCAGAGAACAAGACTTACTAACTGCTTCAGATGAAACTTCTCTTGAGCGAGTGTCTGAGTTTCGTCTCTGCTGCAGGTTTTCGGGAAGAGGGCGAGGCAAAGGTCACGGAGAGCTACGAGTACGACCTCATCGGCGTCACGGTGCACACGGGCACGGCGGACGGCGGCCACTACTACAGCTTCATCAGAGACATCGTCAACCCGCACGCCTACAAGAACAACAAGTGGTGAGAGAGGAGACGTCGTTGATGGTTGATTTTTTTTTTTTAACGTCAAATCGTCAGTCACCTGAAGTTCAGGTCGCTCACTCTCGTAGCTGTTTATAAAACAAGCGAATGTTCCGGCAGGTACCTGTTCAACGATGCAGAGGTGAAGCCCTTCGACTCCGCCCAGCTGGCCTCGGAGTGCTTCGGAGGAGAGATGACGGTACGAGCTCCGGTCAGAGGAGAAATAAAAGCACATCCCTCCGTCTGTCGCCTTTGATTCCACTGACTCCGTTTTCTCTTTCAGACTAAAACCTACGACTCCGTCACCGACAAGTTCATGGATTTCTCCTTTGAGAAGGTGAGGACGGTTGTTGTTAGTCTGATCTCGTTTATAACGTGTAACATATATGATCCAGAAGGTGAATAATTAGATATTGATTGGCTTTGCAGACGCACAGTGCCTACATGCTCTTCTACAAGAGAGTGGAGCTGGAGGAGGAGAACGGGAAGGACTTCAGCTTTGACGTCTCTCCTGATCTGCTCGAGGTATTTAAAACTTATTCAAGATATAATTGTACGTTTAAATCTTATTTTAAATCTTCTAACACGTGTGTGTGTGTCTCTCACAGTGGATTTGGCACGACAACATGCAGTTCCTCCAGGACAAGAACATCTTCGAACACACATACTTTGGGTGAGAATTAAATCTGTGGCCTTTTATTTGGACAGAACTTGAAGCCTCGTCCGTCTGTGATTATGAGGCTGCACAGCTCTGCTCTCTCTTGTATTAACCGTCTGCTTTTTCTAGTTTCATGTGGCAGCTGTGCAGCAGCATCCCCAGCACCCTACCTGACCCTAAAGCCGTCTCCCTCATGACCGCCAAGGTGAGAGATGCTGATTTGATAGGGACGCTGCTTGTTAATGAACATCAGCACAATATAAATGTGTAAAAACATTTTAGTACATTAGTACAAATAGAAAGACGGATACATTTTGCTGCACACTGAGTTAAAAGTCACAGATCTGGTTTATTTTACCTTTAAATAATAAAATAAAATAGGTTTTTTTAGCAACATTTAACAGAAAGGGAAGTTAATAAAAACTTTGGATTTCCTCTGAACTTCAAAAAAAATTCACAACCAACAAAATATTGTTGTTGGAATTGAAGGTAAATATTATTGCTATTTATAAAATAGAAATAAAATCTAAGTGTCACTGAGCAGGAGAAGGTAAATGAGTCTTTTCTTCAGGTGCTGATGTGAATTTTCTTTTCTTCATTTTCCAGCTCAGCACGTCGTTTGTTCTCGAGACCTTCATTCACTCCAAGGAGAAGGTAATTCACGTCGTTATTTCACTTTCACTGTGGATTTAAGGTCAAACAGTAGATTCCATCATCTGGAGACGAATGACAGGAAACAGGAAGCCACTCAGACCGACCCATAAAGTGTCGTAGCACCAAGGCAGAAATAAAGCCACGAAAACATGGACCCATCACTATAAAACACAAAAGAAGAACAGGAAAACAGAACATGGAGGAGAGAGAGAAAGAGAGCAGAGATCCCTGCCTCCTCTTTACAGGTTTCCTCCCCAGTCGGGTCAGAACAAATCCACCTGAGGAGCGGAGACAGAAACACAAGTGCAGAAACTGACGTGGAATATGTGTTAATGATCAGTGCTGCACCTGTGTGTCCTCTGATGTGTGTGTGTGTGTGTGTGTGTGTTGTGTCTCCAGCCCACGATGCTGCAGTGGATCGAACTCCTGACCAAACAGTTCAACAACAGCCAGGCGGCCTGCGAGGTTTGATCCTGTTATTCTCCCTTGGCGCTGCAGCGTTGTGTTTAAACATTTTCACGCTCTGCGGCGTTTTAATTTAATTTCTCGCAGAGACGGAATAGAAACTGTTTTTGTTTTTGCTTCCGTGTTTACTGACGGACGGTGTTTCTGTCTCAGTGGTTTCTGGATCGGATGGCTGACGACAACTGGTGGCCGATGCAGATCCTGATCAAGTGCCCCAATCAGATCGTCAGACAGGTGAGTTATTTATCATTATTATTATTTATAAAACTCCGCTGTGACCTGACGTTCCTCGTTTCTCCTGCTCCTGTGTTTCGTTCCTCCGTCCTGCTCCTGTCTCATGTTGTCCATCTCCTCTGCCTCTGTCTTCCAGATGTTCCAGAGGTTGTGCATTCACGTCATCCAGAGGCTGCGGCCGGTTCACGCTCACCTCTACCTGCAGCCCGGCATGGAGGATGGGTACGTCGAAAGAAAAGCTCGGGCCGATGTTCGATAATATCAAATATCGCGATATTTCCCACCATGTGTGATATTTTTTGATAATATACAAAAGAAATTACATATATAATGTTGTTTTGAACGATCAGACTTGAGTTGTTATTCACTGTGTGTGCAGGTGTATCAGGTATGTAGGTAGGAAATGCACCGACTCCTGGGTTAAACATCTCAGTAGCTTTAAGTTTTAGATTTAGATTTAGATTTGATTTTTTGAAACATGAAATAGCAGAATAAAAAACAAACCCTCCCTCCTGCGATGATATTGTATATCGTGATGTTGAGGCTGGACTGTGGATGTCAACGCAAGCCTTTGTTTTTATGTCGGGTTCCTGAAACACTGACGGTTTGAATTTGAAATCAATCTTTAAATGAAAAGTCAGATGACATTTGAAATCGAGCGAGAGCCGACGAACAGGATGCCGGTTTTTAATTGAGCCATCGGAGGTGTGCGGCACGATCGGACGTTGTCGTGTCTGTGAAATCAGATGGCGACAGAGATTCAGACAGGAGCTGTGTGTCACTCAGAGTCTCTGTCCCTCTGGACTCGGAGAAAGATTTGTGGCTCCACATCAAGTCTCAGAGTCGAGAACAGGATCCTCTGAACCTTATCTCTCTTTTTAATCCGTGTCTCAGCTCTGACGACATGGACGGTCCGGTGGAGGACATCGGCAGCCGCTCCTGCGTCACGCGCTTCGTCAAGACCCTGCTGTCCATCATGGAGCACGGCGTCAAGCCGCACAGCAAACACCTGACGGAGTACTTCGCTTTTCTCTACGAGTTCGCCAAGATGGGAGAGGAGGAGGTGAGTGTGAACACCCAGATCGTCCAGAACACGTGTGTTTAAAGAGAAAGAAGGATCTCAGATCTTTTAGCGTCAGTGATGAAGTTTCATGAGTCGCTGTGGAGAAACGTCTTCGGGATCAAACCTTTTCAAAGGAGCAGTGTTTATGATTCAGGAGGATCTATTGGCAGAAACTGGATATAATATTCTTACTCATGTTTTCATCAGTGTATAAACACCTGAGACTGAGATTCATTGTGTTTACGTTCCTTCACGCAGCCGCCATGTTTCCACAGCAGCCTGTGACACTGCGGCTTTTCGCTTTTTCTTTTTATGTGGAAAAACAAACATTTCACAATAATCATTTTACACAGCGTCGATATTACTGCAGGGGAATCATTTAAAGCAGGAAGTTACGCAGTATGTTTGATAACCTCTTCATCCGTCTGGCTCCTCCTCTGGTTTTCTTTTATAACATTAATTATTTCACAGTTGAACATGGCTTTTCTTGCCTTTCCACACGTTCCCTGAAGGGCCACCGCAGCTTCTCCCACACGTGTGGAAGAGGACGGGGTAAATGCAGTGATGCAATCTGCTGCCTCACCACTAGATGTCACTAAAACCATTAACAGTAGCTCACGTTTAATGATGTTGTTGCTCAGTCTGTTTGTTTTGTTTTGTTTTTTTAATCTGCGTCGTCCGTCTGTCATTGGACGCTGTCGCTGTCGTGGCTGTTTTTAAAGGTTTGAAGGTCGTGTGATTTCATTTGTGTCCGCAGAGTCAGTTCCTGTTGTCACTACAAGCGATTTCCATCATGGTGCATTTCTACATGGGAACCAAAGGCCCCGAGAACGTGAGTTTACACACTGAGTTCATGTTTGACACCCGCAGTGTTTTTGTTAATATTTCTGTTGAACGTGATGATGTCAGGGTTTATTTAGTGACGTGTGGTGACGAGCGTGTGTTCCCTCAGCCTCAGGTGGAGGTGCTGTCAGAGGAGGAGGGAGAGGAGGAGGACGAGGAGGAGGACATCCTGTCTCTGGCGGAGGAGAAGTATCGTCCTGCGGCTCTGGAGAAGATGATCGCCCTCATCGCTCTGCTGGTGGAACAGTCTCGATCCGAGAGGTACGAGCGCAGGACGCTGAAACGGCCGGAGACGGTGTTTCTCCGATGTAAACGTGTGAACGCAGCAGTGACGGTGTGTCCTTCTCTCTGTCCAGACACCTGACTCTGTCCCAGAGTGACATGGCAGCGCTGACCGGAGGGAAAGGCTTTCCTTTCCTCTTCCAGCACATCAGAGACGGCATCAACATCAGACAGACCTGCAACCTCATCTTCAGCCTCTGTCGCTATAACAACCGCCTGGCCGAGCATGTAGGTTCATCACACGCAGGTTTCCTTTCATGTATTCATGTTACTACAAACGGCCGTTAACAACAGGAAGTACAGGCCGTTTTTTTGTTTTTTAATATATATTTAATGTGTAATTAATTTCCCGCCTGTGGTTTTTTTCTGGCTGCAGATTGTGTCGATGCTCTTCACCTCCATCGCAAAGCTGACTCCAGAGGTAAACACGCCGCTCAGAGATGAGACTGTAATCACATCGTCTTTATTACCAGGGATGAAAAACACAGCAGCTCTTCTTCCTGTCGTTTTCAAACATCAAACATATTCTCTCGCTGGCCTCCAGCCGTATTCAGCCACACAGACGGTTTTAGTTTTACATGAGCTTCGTTCACTGGTTCTTATTCGTTTGTTTGTTTTCTTTCCACCAGGCTGCCAATCCTTTCTTCAAGCTGCTGACGATGTTGATGGAGTTTGCAGGCGGACCTCCGGGGATGCCCTCCTTCGCCTCCTACATCCTGCAGAGGATCTGGGAGGTAACCTGACGACACGAACGACACGAACACAGACAGATCACATGTAGAAAACCGCAGTTCTCATGACACACCATGTGTGAAACCTGACGATTAACCACTTCCTGTCCGCTTCCTGTCAGGTGATCGAGTACAACCCGTCCCAGTGTCTGGACTGGCTGGCTGTCCAGACTCCCAGGAACAAACTGGCCCACAGCTGGGTCCTGCAGAACATGGAGAACTGGGTGGAGCGTTTCCTGCTGGCACACAACTACCCCCGAGTCCGCACATGTAAGACTCAGGGTTTTTCTTTTTATAAAACTGTGATGATTTGAGTTGAGCTTCAGTTTTTTTTTGTGGTGGTTTAATAATAAGAACAATTTACATGTTGTGATATAGAAAATAAAAGTCTACTCGCAGGAAAACGTGATCTGCAAAACACATAAAACACAGTGATAATCTTCAACAGTCAAATTATTTATTCCACCTCACAATAAAAACTTTTCAGAAAACTTTTCTCAGTTAATTCACTTAAATTCAGACCAATGGACAAATTAATTGAGGTCAAACATGAAAGAGATGAAATTTAAGATAAATAAAAGTAGATATTAACATCTAGTAATTATTAAATCAGCACATCCTGCTTTGACCAAGTTGTGTGTAAACTGACAAACAGAAACTGGATCTGATCAGAGAACAGTGATGGTAAATGGTTTTATTTAAACGGACTAAACAGTTGATGGGATTGTGTCACCGTCTCTCCTCCAGCGGCGGCGTACCTCCTCGTCTCCCTCATCCCCAGCAACTCCTTCCGCCAGATGTTTCGCTCCACGCGCTCCCTGCACCTGCCGACCCGAGAGCTGCCGCTGTCGCCCGACACCACCGTGGTCCTCCACCAGGTCTACAACCTGCTGCTGGGGCTGCTGGGACGCGCCAAGCTGTACGTGGACGCCAGCGTTCACGGCACCACCAAGCTGGTGCAGTACTTCAGCTTCATGACCTACTGCCTCATCTCCAAGACGGAGAAGCTCATGTTCTCCGGATACTTCATGGACCTCTGGAACCTCTTCCAGGTACATTTGTTTCTCATCAGAACCCAAGTGGATCTTGGGTCTTATTACGTCCTCAACACCCCTGGTTGTTTTTGAATACTTTATATTTACAAACAGAAAAGAAGCAACATAAAAATATAAAATCCAGCATCTCAACATTTTCTACCTGTAAAACTAATCATCAATATTTTAGCCCCAAGCAGCAGATTCATGCATCATTTCTAGTTGAGGTGTAAGTTTTTCAACTCGCTGCCAATTGAGCAAAGTGGCAGATAATGATTTATAGGCCCCGCCTACTTTGATCAATCAATATGGCGCTTCAGATTTTGTTTAACACTCTCCCCCTGAACATGTTTACCAGAGTTGGTGAAAATCTTTCCACCGGGTTTTGAGGTGGCGCCCCCTATGGATCGGGCTCATAATGCTTTGGTCCTGTCGCGGCCTGAAGTTACCTACCAAGATTTATTATGATTGGACAAATAGTTAATGAGTTATGGCGGCCATGTTTCTATGTTTAAATATTTAGCCGCTAATAGTGAAAATAGCTCCTTCTCCGAGGCTGTCGTCATGGTGACCGTGCTCCTCCCTCTGTCCTCAGCCCAAACTGTCGGAGCCGGCCATCGCCACCAACCACAACAAGCAGGCGCTGCTGTCCTTCTGGTACAACGTGTGCGTGGACTGTCCGGAGAACGTGCGGCTGGTGGTGCAGAACCCCGTGGTGACCAAGAACATCGCCTTCAACTACATCCTGGCCGACCACGACGACCAGGAGGTGGTGCTCTTCAACCGCGGCATGCTGCCCGCCTACTACGGCATCCTGCGCATGTGCTGCGAGCAGTCGCCCGCCTTCACCCGCCAGCTCGCCTCGCACCAGAACATCCAGTGGGCCTTCAAGAACCTGACGCCGCACGCCAGCCAGTACCCCGGGGTGGGTGGAGTCTGGTTACAGAGCAGCTGACGATGTCTCTGACGATGTTGATTGGTTAATTCTATTAGTTTGAACATTTTGACCAGGTTTTATTTCCTGTAGATTGTTAATTCCTGGTGATGTCGATTGTTTCTCGGCTCAGAGACAAAGATTACAAATGACAGTTGTTTGTTTTTCCCTTGATTCAAATTCAGTTTTATTCGCAGGATAAAGTGTGTTGATGTTTGTTTTTGTCTTGTTCTAAAGGCGGGTCACACGTCAACACAGACAACAACAAAAACATTCAACAATAACTGAAAGAAAAGAAATCAAATTAGAAAATATTACAATTACAAATGTGAGAAAAAAAAATAATTACAAATAGATACAAGTGTGTAACAGCAAAATATTTAATCCATCGTGTGTGTGTGTGTGTGTGTGTGTGTGTGTGTGTGTGTGTCGCCCCCTGCAGGCGGTGGAAGAGCTGTTCAACCTGATGCAGCTGTTTGTGGCGCAGCGAGCCGACATGAGAGAAGAAGAACTGGAGGACGTGAAACAGTTTAAGAAAACCACCATCAGCTGCTACCTGCGCTGCCTGGACGGACGCTCCTGCTGGACCACGCTCATCAGGTCAGGACACGCACACACACACACACACACACACACACACACACCTGTACATGTGTGAGTAGCGGCAGCCTGGATAAGATGCGTTTGAGAGATGTTATATCTGCTAATGATCTAAATGTCGGTGTCACATGGTCTTGTGTTGTAACGCGTGGTTCTGTTGTTCCGTCAGTGCCTTCAGAGTTCTGCTGGAGAACGACGAGGACCGGCTGCTGGTGGTCTTCAACAGAGGACTCATCCTCATGACTGAAGTAGGATCAGGATCCAGATCACAGTTTAATTCCAGACCGTATTAATGTGGATTTTATATGAGATACAACAACACAGAGATGTTCCGGGTGTTTCTGACGTTCTCGTTCCTGCTTTCAATTAATTAGGAAATTGGAGATTTTAAAACTTTTGTTTTTGTCATTAATGTTCAATATAAACTAAAAGAAGCCTGAGAAACCAGTCGCTCACAGTGTCTGAGAGTGTGCGAGGAAACTGAACCGACTTTGTCGAGCCGTTTATTTAGTGTCTCAGAGGACGCTCTCTGTCTCTGTCCCCCTGCAGTCCTTCAACACTCTGCACATGATGTACCACGAGGCGACGGCGTGCCACGTCACCGGAGACCTGGTGGAGCTGCTCTCCATCTTCCTGTCTGTCCTGAAAGCCACGCGGCCGTACCTGCAGCGCAAAGGTCCGACGGCGTCTGAGAGTCTTAGATTAACGGATGAGAACATGTCGGCTGTGTTTCCCAGCTTGTTCTGAGCAGATGTTTCTCTCTCTCTCTCCCGTCATCCAGATGTGAAGCAGGCTCTGATCCAGTGGCAAGAGAGAATCGACTTCGCCCACAAGCTGCTCACCCTCCTCAACTCGTACAGCCCGCCCGAGCTCCGCAACGCCTGCCTGGGTAACGACATCGTCCAGTATTTACACTGATCACTTTTACACTGATCAATCATGGGAGTAGAGGGAGAACGCTGCCCCCTGCTGGGCCGCCTGTTACAGCTGTGGCAGAGGCTTCAGCAGCTGCTTCATGTAGGAGAATAAAAATATCACACATTGGATATAAACCCGGATCAGACACAAACGTACAGTCTGTGTAAATCATTCTTCCTTTATGCTCCCACACTAAAGAGTGTAACGACTGTGGCGTCCCACAAGCTTTGGGACGCCCTCGCCTCTCTGATAGAAACAGAACATTCATTGTTTACCCAAAATATAGAGTGTAGTGTAATTACATCAATGTTTATCTAAAAGATAATAAAAAAAAATTCACTCCCATGTTTCATTTTATCGTCTCATTAGATCCTTTTTTTTTTTTTCATGTCCCGTTTCCTCGGTACACAGCGGCGTGTGCATGAAAATAATGAAATGTCTGTTTGAAGCGAGGTGATTTATGATTTATGAAAGCGAAGCTGCGCTCGTGATGTTTTTGCTGAGTGTGTGTAACCAAGGCGACAGATGAAGGTTCCTCTGACTGACGATGATGTTTGTCGTGTTTCCTGCAGACGTGCTGAAGGAACTGGTTCTGCTGAGTCCACACGACTTCCTGCACACGCTGGTTCCCTTCCTGCAGCACAACCACTGCACCTACCACCACAGCAACATCCCCAGTGAGTCTCCTCCTGCTCCTCCTCCTCCTGCTCCTCCTCCTCCTCCTCCTCCTCCTCCTCCTCCTCCTCCTCCTCCTCCTCCTCCTCCTCCTCCTCCTCCTCCTCCTCCTCCTCCTCCTCCTCCTCCTCCTCCTCCTCCTCCTCCTCCTCCTCCTCCTCCTCCTCCTCCTCCTCCTCCTCCTCCTCCTCCTCCTCCTCCTCCTCCTCCTCCTCCTCCTCCTCCTCCTCCTCCTCCTCCTCCTCCTCCTCCTCCTCCTCCTCCTCCTCCTCCTCCTCCTCCTCCTCCTCCTCCTCCTCCTCCTCCTCCTCCTCCTCCTCCTCCTCCTCCTCCTCCTCCTCCTCCTCCTCCTCCTCCTCCTCCTCCTCCTCCTCCTCCTCCTCCTCCTCCTCCTCCTCCTCCTCCTCCTCCTCCTCCTCCTCCTCCTCCTCCTCCTCCTCCTCCTCCTCCTCCTCCTCCTCCTCCTCCTCCTCCTCCTCCTCCTCCTCCTCCTCCTCCTCCTCCTCCTCCTCCTCCTCCTCCTCCTCCTCCTCCTCCTCCTCCTCCTCCTCCTCCTCCTCCTCCTCCTCCTCCTCCTCCTCCTCCTCCTCCTCCTCCTCCTCCTCCTCCTCCTCCTCCTCCTCCTCCTCCTCCTCCTCCTCCTCCTCCTCCTCCTCCTCCTCCTCCTCCTCCTCCTCCTCCTCCTCCTCCTCCTCCTCCTCCTCCTCCTCCTCCTCCTCCTCCTCCTCCTCCTCCTCCTCCTCCTCCTCCTCCTCCTCCTCCTCCTCCTCCTCCTCCTCCTCCTCCTCCTCCTCCTCCTCCTCCTCCTCCTCCTCCTCCTCCTCCTCCTCCTCCTCCTCCTCCTCCTCCTCCTCCTCCTCCTCCTCCTCCTCCTCCTCCTCCTCCTCCTCCTCCTCCTCCTCCTCCTCCTCCTCCTCCTCCTCCTCCTCCTCCTCCTCCTCCTCCTCCTCCTCCTCCTCCTCCTCCTCCTCCTCCTCCTCCTCCTCCTCCTCCTCCTCCTCCTCCTCCTCCTCCTCCTCCTCCTCCTCCTCCTCCTCCTCCTCCTCCTCCTCCTCCTCCTCCTCCTCCTCCTCCTCCTCCTCCTCCTCCTCCTCCTCCTCCTCCTCCTCCTCCTCCTCCTCCTCCTCCTCCTCCTCCTCCTCCTCCTCCTCCTCCTCCTCCTCCTCCTCCTCCTCCTCCTCCTCCTCCTCCTCCTCCTCCTCCTCCTCCTCCTCCTCCTCCTCCTCCTCCTCCTCCTCCTCCTCCTCCTCCTCCTCCTCCTCCTCCTCCTCCTCCTCCTCCTCCTCCTCCTCCTCCTCCTCCTCCTCCTCCTCCTCCTCCTCCTCCTCCTCCTCCTCCTCCTCCTCCTCCTCCTCCTCCTCCTCCTCCTCCTCCTCCTCCTCCTCCTCCTCCTCCTCCTCCTCCTCCTCCTCCTCCTCCTCCTCCTCCTCCTCCTCCTCCTCCTCCTCCTCCTCCTCCTCCTCCTCCTCCTCCTCCTCCTCCTCCTCCTCCTCCTCCTCCTCCTCCTCCTCCTGCTCCTCCTCCTGCTCCTCCTCTTATTTCAGTCTTTGCTAGAATCCGACTCGTCTTGTCACTTGAACACGACCAGCTGTTACAGCAACTTTTTATATTTAATATTTATAATCAAGTGCAGAATGTAAACAAATATATTTTATATTTTATGTAAAAATATTTAAAAATCATTTGTTTGTTTGTTTTCAGACATAAAGTAACTAAAAACTAAAATGTTGAGAAAAGACTTTATGTAAATTAATATCTGAGAATCTTATAAAACCTCATGTGAGTGTCAGGTGACCCGTCAGGTGACCCGTCAGGTGACCCGTCAGGTGACCCGTCAGGTGACTCATCAGGTGACCCGTCAGGTGACCCGTCAGGTGTGTTTGCGTCCACAGTGTCGTTCGGGCCCTACCTGCCCTGCAGAGAGAACATCAAGCTGATGGGAGCGAAGAACAACATCCGGCCTCCGAGACCGGAGCTCAACATGTGTCTGCTGCCGTCCATGGTGGAGAGCAGCAAGGTGGGTTCACCTGTCGCACCTCTGTCGCACATCTGTCACCTCACCTGTTGAAACAAGTCTCACATTTCAGTGCTTTCACAGGTCTCGGCCACTCATGAATATAAATCCAGAGGCAGAGTTAAACTTGACTTCCCTGTAGAGTTGAACTGATCGGTTTGGTAATTGATTAATTGACTGACTGAAAAATGACTCCAATAACAGATCGATTATCAAAATAGTTGCCGATTAATTAAAAAAGAGTCTCTGCTGTTTTCTCTGTTTTATTATAAACTGAATCTTTGGGCTTCGACTGGTGGTCGGACAAAACAATAAATCTGAAGACGTCACCGTGGAAACTGGGAGAAACATTTCTCACGTTTTCTGACATTTTATAAATAAAACGATTAATCGATAATGAAAACAGATGTTTGTTTGTTGCTCCAGCTCTTCCTTGATTTTCCTCTAATTTGTCATTAAACAAACACTCTCTCTCTCTCTCTCTCTCTCTCTCCCCCCCCCCCTCAGGGTAAAGACGAGGTGTACGACCGGATGCTGCTGGATTACTTCTTGTCCTATCACCAGTTCATCCACCTGCTGTGTCGCGTCGCCATCAACTGTGAAAAGTTCACAGACACACTCGTCAAACTAAGTATGAACCGTGTGTGTGTGTGTGTGTGTGTGTGTGTGTGTGTGTGTGTGTGTGTGTGAGACAATTTAAATTAGCATCAGCAGTTGGTTTTAGCAACTGTAGAAAAGGACGATACAAAGGAGATGTATAGGAACATAATCAATAAGAGAAATACATCAGGTGATAAATAAACTCCTTCACATCTGTAGAAGATATGTATCATGTATATATCTGTACATGAAATCACACATATGAACTTCCTCCTCTCCGTCAGGTGTGTTGATAGCGTATGAGGGACTTCCTCTTCACCTCGCTCTCTTCCCCAAACTGTGGACGGAGCTCTGTCAGTCACAGGTACAGTCACTTTATTCTGGTTTGACTGGTTTCCGTGGATCGTTTCCCAGTTTAACCTCCCCCGCTGGAGGGAGACTGATGTTGTGTCTAAGCGCTCCGGACTCGGCAGGAACTGACTCGCCGCTGTCGCTGCTCTTTCAGTCTGTTCTGGCGAAGACGTGCGTGAAGCTGCTGTGCGAGGATCCGGCGTTCAGCGAGTACATCAAGTGCATCCTGATGGACGAGCGCATGTTCCTCAACAACAACGTGGCGTACTCCTTCCTCACCTGCTTCCTGCACAAGGTACATGTCACATCATTATTATTATTATTATTATTATTACGCTGTCTGTAGAAATACATGAACACTGCTGCTAATACCACATTTTTACTGTTATTACATTATTATAATGATCAATATCATGACTATCTGTTATTATTGTATACAATCAACTTTTATTAGAACATCATGAGCACAGACACACACACACACACACACACACACATCTCATATACTCTTTGTCTTCTGTGTCACTTTCTGTTTGTCTCTTTGTGTTTTTTCACCAATTAAAAAAAACAAAACATGATTTTCACAGTTTATATTTTATTTTTATCCATATTTTTGATTTTGATTTTCCTCAGTTTTCATCTTTCATCGTTTATTCTGTTGAAAATCCTGTTTCTATAAATCGAAACAGGCCGGATCGTTGCAGAATTGTTTTTTAAAGTCATTTAAATGATATATATTTATAGATTTTTAAGACTTTAGCGTCTTTAAATTGCCATAAAATGAAGGTGAATTAAAATCCAGATTTGATTTGATGTCGTGCAGGTGCAGGTTCTGTCCGGCCCCAGCTGCTCCAACCTGATCGGTGTGTTGGTGACGAACCTGCTGAGTGAACAGAGCAGCCTGCAGCCTGAACTGGCAGCTCACCGCCTGGAGCTCAGCAAGACCAGCGGGCTGCTCAACGCCGTACGACACACACACACACACACACACACACACACACACACACACACACACACACACACACACACACACACACACACACACACACACAGTCTCGTCTTCTCCAGTTGTCCTCACTCCTGTCTCGTCTCTGTGTCTCTCTCCCCTTCAGGACCTGAGGGCGCTGGTGTTGCTGCTGTCCGTCCAGCCACCTCAGGCCGTTGACCCCGCCCTCTGCCCCGCCCTGCAGGAGCTGCTTGGCCGCTGTCGTGTTTGTGTCCAGCAGCGCAGCGCTCTGGAGCTGGAGGCCAAGGACCACAAGGCCAAAGGTACAGCACGCACGCACGCACGCACACACACTACATGGTAACGAGGCCTCAGCTCAAAAACATTTAGGAGGCTCTTAATTACTTTGATCCTTCATCTAATGCATTGTGGGAAAATTTTACACCCAGCATCTTTACTTATCTTCCTCATCGCTTCACTAATTAATCCATAACGACACTTTAAGGAGCAGATTGGACGATAATGAAAAAAACTTCCAGGATCTGCTGCTGTAACCAGATTAGCACCCCCCCACCACCCCCCCACTCATTTGACTCATTTGTGTGTGTGTGTGTGTGTGTGTGTGTGTGTCAGCTGAGGATGAAGGAGCGACCCCGGTGAAGCGGCGGCGGGTGAGCAGTGATGACGACAGAGCTGGTGACACGGTGGCGCCGCTCTGCGTGGCCTCCACCTCCTCTTCTTCCTCCTCGTCGTCCTCCTCCTCTGCTCTCCCGCCCTGCAGCGAGCCGAAGCCCGACCACCAGGAGGCGCTGACGCCCACCAGCACGTCGGACACAGAGACTCGAGACTCCTCCTCACTGATCGACCCGGGCACCGAGCAGGACCCGCCCTCTCCTGACCCCGCCCCCACCTCCTCTGGAAACCTGGACTCCTCCCCGAAGGAGGAGAAGATGGAGGCTTCTTCTTCGTCCTCCTCCTCGTTCTCCTCTTCCTCCTCCCTGCTGCAGGAAGCAGGGGAGGGTTTTGTTCAGGGGGAGGAGCCTGAGCCACCACGACATGTGGCGACAGGTGAGGAGGAGGATGCGGAGCAGCGGGAGGGGAGGAGGGGTGAGGCGATGTCTTGCTCCTCAGAGGAGGTGAAGGAGACGGGCTCTAAGACCAGCAGCAGCTCGGCCCCACCCCTTTCAGAGGACGCCGCCTTCCCATCAGCCCTCGGGCTAGTGGGGGAGGGGCCAGAGGGCTGCAGTGGCCACGCCCAATCCTCCCAGGTGTTCCCAAGCACCGGCCCCCCACCTGACATGCTGGACACGCTGTACAGGACGGTGGAAGCCACCATCGCCATAGTTACCAAACTGTCCGTTAAAGGCCCACCCTCGTCATGACATCATCAACTCACAGCCGCCATGAGATCTTTAACAAAAACTTTTTCCTTTTTTTTTTTTAATTTTTTTTTTTTCTTTTTGAAAATCTGAATTCTGCTCAGAGGAAAAAACGTTTTCCTGTTTTTCAGTTTCTTCTTCTTCTGCTGTTTGTGCTGCTGTTCGTTGCCTTCTGCTGATGTTCAGTCGGTCGGTCTCTCCGGCCTCAGTGGCGCTCGCCGTGTCGTTTCGCTCTATTAAACTCTGACTCCACGCACAGCTGACCCCCCCCACATACGCACCGGCCCCCGCCACCTCCCCCCACTTTGACAATAAAGAAGAAAAAACAGAAAAAGTCGTACAAGCTATAGCACATTTTTTTCAAAGGGCAAAAAAAAAAAAAAAGAGTTTTTGTTATGTTCTTTTTTTGTGTGTGTGTGTGTGTTTTATACTGATTTGAATTTGTTTTGGAAAGTGATTTTATTTGAGGTTTGCTGTAACGGGGAAAGGTTTACAGAACTTTTGTCTCCTCTGTATGTAATTTAATTTTATTGCATTTTTACTGTGTATGAAAATGGTCGTCTCTGTGCCAGTTTTGTACTTTATGAACGAGGCAAAAGAAAGTTGCCTTGACTTTTCTGTGGTTTAATTATCCAGAAACGAAGTTTACCTGTAAATTAAGAGAACCACAAGAAACTTGATTCTGTAAAGAATCCTCTCTAGTCATTGCCTGAAGGTGTATATGAAAACTATATAAATATATATATAAATACCTTTATATATATATGAATATATAAAAGCGGTGCTTTATTTGACTGTGGTTGAAATAAAGCCCCCATGTTGGACCAGCTGGAGCTTTTATTTTCTTTACTGAAGTACATTCCATAATCTATTGTTTATTTTCGCTTCTTCTGCTGTGTTCTGATTCTCTTATGATTTTATTTTAATAGAGAATAAATTAATAAAAACAGTTTTAATATGAAGAATTATGAACTGAAACCCATGTGCAGCTGTGAGGTTTTTTTGACTGGACCGCAACAGCGGAGACAGCTCTGTAACTGCAAATGTCCCTGACTGACAGTCAGTCAGGGACATTTGCAGTTACAGACTTACTGACTGACTGACTGACTGATCCTATTTCCACCACTGGTCAGCGGAGAGTCGAGCCGCTCTGGTTTACTGGCTGCTCGGGAACTGCAGGGAAGAAGAGGAGGAGCGCTTCCAGTACACTGAGCTTCGCCTCCATTACAACAAATAAACTACTTCGATTACATGTATCATTGTTACTAAAGGCAGCAGAGGAATAACTAAACATAAGACACACCAAGCAGGAGAGAGGGAGGGAGAGAGAGAAGTCATCGGTAACGAGACTGTGACCAACTCTACATATCAAACAGAGGGAGTTAGACATAAAGACCTGCTTCTGATGAAAGTCTCATGTTCTGGAGGTGAAGTAAATAAAGACTACACTATTATGGATCCAGACAGAGGCTGTGAGCTGTGTGACAGACTAATAAAGAAATGACACGTGTTAAAGTGTGTGCCTTGGTTGGTCACCTGTGTGAATGAGTGCTTCGGGCCTAGTTTTTGTCCTGGCAGCACATGTTGAAGTCCGGCCTGCAGCCCTTTCCTGCATGTCATCCTCTTTCTCTCATTCTCTCTAAAATTCCGGTCTCTCTCTCACTATGACTGTAATAAAGGCAAAAGCCTGAAAAAAAAAATAGTCTGTCTCTCCTAACTTTCTCTAACTGTTCATCAGTAAATCCAGCTGAAATCACAGCTCAGTCTTTGTCTTTCGCTTATGTGTTGGTGATTGTGTAAGACAACGTCACACTTCTATAATCAGGATTTGATGAGAGGAGATCCAGACATAGACTAGAGTTAGATCTAGTCTTCTTGATGACACACTGTTCTAGGGCGTTCTTCGACCTTTTAATGCCGTATTTAACTGACATTTTTTTAAAATTTTATGCCTTCCTATATTATGACTTTTCTTGACATCTTTGTGACTTATTATACTATGACGTCTTTTGACATTTTTAAACCTTACTATACTATGACGTTTTTTTCACTTTTTATGCCTTACAATACTATGTCATTTATTTAAAAAATTTTTATGCCTTACTATACTATGACGTTTTTTGAAGTTTTTATGCCTTACTAAGCTATGATATTGTTTTAAAATTTTATTCCTTAATATACTATGACGTTTTTTCAAAAAAAATTTATGCCTTACTATACTATGACGTTTTTTGAAGTTTTTATGCCTTACTAAGCTATGATATTGTTTTAAAATTTTATTCCTTAATATACTATGACGTTTTTTCAAAAAAAATTTATGCCTTACTATACTATGACGTTTTTCTTCACTTTTTATGCCTTACTATATCATGACTTTTTATGCCTTACTATACTATGACGTTTTTATGACTTTTTATGCCTTAATATACTATGACGTTTTTTCAAAAAAAATTTATGCCTTACTATACTATGACGTTTTTATGACTTTTTATGCCTTAATATACTATGACGTTTTTTCAAAAAAAATTTATGCCTTACTATACTATGACGTTTTTATGACTTTTTATGCCTTAATATACTATGACGTTTTTTCAAAAAAAATTTATGCCTTACTATACTATGACGTTTTTATGACTTTTTATGCCTTAATATACTATGACGTTTTTTCAAAAAAAATTTATGCCTTACTATACTATGACGTTTTTATGACTTTTTATGCCTTAATATACTATGACGTTTTTTCAAAAAAAATTTATGCCTTACTATACTATGACGTTTTTATGACTTTTTATGCCTTAATATACTATGACGTTTTTTCAAAAAAAATTTATGCCTTACTATACTATGACGTTTTTATGACTTTTTATGCCTTAATATACTATGACGTTTTTTCAAAAAAAATTTATGCCTTACTATACTATGACGTTTTCATGACTTTTTATGCCTTGCTATACTATGACGTTTTTATGACTTTTATAGCTTGCTATACTATGATGTTTTAATGACTTTTTATGCCTTGCTATACTATGACGTTTTTATGACTTTTTATGCCTTACTATACTATGACTTTTTATGCCTTACTATACTATGACGTTTTTCTTCACTTTTTCTGCCTTACTATACCATGACATTTTTTGAAGTTTTTATGCCTTACTAAGCTATGATATTGTTTGAAAATTTTATTCCTTAATATACTATGACGTTTTTTCAAGAATTTTTTATGCCTTACTCTACTATGACGTTTTTCTTCACTTTTTCTGCCTTACTATACTATGACTTTTTATGACTTTTTATGCCTTACTTTATCATGACTTTTTATGCCTTACTATACTATGACGTTTTTATGACTTTTTATGCCTTACTATACTATGACGTTTTTATGACTTACTATACTATGACTTTTTATGCCTTACTATACTATGACGTTTTCATGACTTTTTATGCCTTACTATACTATGACGTTTTTTTGACTTTTTATGACTTACTATACTATGACGTTTTTATGACTTTTTATGCCTTACTATACTATGACTTTTTAGGCCTTACTATACTATGACATTTTTATGCCTTTTTATGCCTTACTATACTATGTTGTTTTTATGACTTTTTATGCCTTACTATACTATGTCGTTTTTATGACTTTTTATGCCTTACTATATCATGACTTTTTATGCCTTATTATACTATGATGTTTTTATGACTTTTTATGCCTTACTATACTATGACGTTTTCATGACATTTTATGCCTTGCTATACTATGTTGTTTTATGACTTTTTATGCCTTACTATACTATGACTTTTTATGCCTTACTATACTATGACGTTTTTTTGACTTTTTATGCCTTACTATACTATGACGTTTTTATGACTTTTTATGCCTTACTATACTATGACTTTTTATGCCTTACTATACTATGACGTTTTTTTGACTTTTTATGCCTTACTATACTATGACGTTTTTATGACTTTTTATGCCTTACTATACTATGACTTTTTATGCCTTACTATACTATGACGTTTTTTTGACTTTTTATGCCTTACTATACTATGACATTTTTATGACTTTTTATGCCTTACTATACTATGACTTTTTATGCCTTACTATACTATGATTTTTTGTGACTTTTTATGCCTTACTATACTATGACGTTTTTTTGACTTTTTATGCCTTACTATACTATGACATTTTTATGACTTTTTATGCCTTACTATACTATGACTTTTTATGCCTTACTATACTATGACGTTTTGTGACTTTTTATGCCTTACTATACTATGA